CAGGGCATGGGGTTAATCCAACCATACAGCTGAGCTGGTTTCACTGCTCCAGGTATGCCTTGTTCTCTCATCAGACACATCCTCAGGCAAACTACACACAGCCAGAACAGAAATTCTGATACATCTCTGCTCATGCAGCTGTTGGCCAGGGAGGAAAATGCTTCAGGAAGAGCCACTCAAGTAGTGTGACCTTTACAAAGGTTTTGCAACACTTCATGACCTACAGGTAAATCCTTCCTACGGACAGTGTCAGTGCAGGGCATGGGAACACACAGCTGAAATTCAGGTCTCACAAATCATTGCATGGTTCATTACAGGGCCCTACCTGGGCCACTGCCAGCTTCTCACCTTGTTTCCCAGCCCAGGGTTACCAGGGCTTGACCATTTGTGTTGGCAATGCAGCAAGTGAAATGGAACAGGACCTGCCCCATTCGGGTTGTTTCCCCTCCTGGAAGCACCAGCCTTGCCCAGATTTTTTGCTTCTGCTGTCTCCTATACTCCACTTGCCCTGAGAGCAGCTCAGTAATGTCCCTGGGGACAGGGGACACCATTAAGAGAAGGTCTACATCTCTCCAAACTGTGTGACAGAAAATATGAGATGTGGAATAGGAATGACCCAAAGTAATTGTCTCTACACAGTACCATTTCTCTTGAGCCCCGTGGCTGCCCTGGTCCACTACCTTACCTAGCACAGCCCCACTGCAGCTCCAGCACCTTTGTGAATCATTAACAGGCCAAGTCCAGCTGCTCCTTCCACAGCTTCTTTCACACAATTTTCTTTCCCAGCCCCCAAATGTTTAATTCAAGCAAGGCACAGACAGAGAAGAGACAAAAAGATTTTATGTGAATTAGCATTTCCTGACAATATGACAAGCAACCAGAGCAATGGTAGGAAAATACACCTTGTCTCTGCACTCCTGGTGGCACTGCTGACACTCCATAGATGTCCCTGTTCCTCCTTTTAGAGACAGCCACCTCTTTTGCTTGCAACAGGGCTTAGCTTAAAAGCGCTTCTCAGCCTCCTTCGTGAACTTTCTGGCCCTTCTCCTTTATTAGCAGTGCCTGGTCATCTGAGCCCCTGGAGTTCGATGCTTTGTGCTTAGTGCAGGGTGGAGCCTTTCTAGCCTGAGCTGATCAAAGTAGGCGGGCAGTGCAGAGCAGTCACTCTTAGAGCTGGGATGTACACAAATGAAGGGGACAGGAGGGAGCAGCCACAGGTGTAGGTAGGAGCTCGGAACACGTGTAGATGAGAGCCCAGCATGAAGGCAGAGTGTTCGTGTGACTGCTTAGAGAGCTGTGCATCACAGCAATGAACTTTGAGGGCAGCTTTGCTTGAATCAGGCCCGGTGGTGCTTCAGGAGGACTTGCTAAGGTGAGAGATTTTCAACCATTTCTTGGTATCTGGTGTGGATGCTCTTGTGCCCAGGACTGTAGTCACTGCTTATGCTCAGCATCCTGAACTGGGAGATTATTTTTGTAAAACACTGCAAACATACAGATGCCAGCAAATTGCTACAATTCTTCCTGCAGACAGAAGCTGTTGGCTTGATTTAGAGGGTAGCTCCTGCTTCTACAGACTGTCTTCTCAGTACCCTTACTCAGCTTTTCCTACTAGTGACTGTCCTGCCAGCTGCTCTCCTCTGAGTGGGTAGATGACTTCTAATTTTGCAGAAGATGACCAGGACAAACTGAAGAAGCATTTGAAAAAACTATGAGCAACCATCAGTGCCATCAAAGACCAGTGCTGGGAGCTTCCCTGGCACCAGATCCTCTTCACTATACTGCTGCCACTTCAGCAGTGGGGAATGTGTACAGGTCTGGAGAACTCCCCCCAGACTGGCAGAGCACTAGTCACCAGCCTGCACAGCATGAGGTATTTTGGGCTATCTCACACCCACCCCAGGCGTGCATAGATTCAACAAACCCTGGGGACGTGCCACCCAATGTTCAGAACGTGTTTGATGGGTATATTTCCCTTGGGCTGATTGTTTCTTTCTGTAATGCTTGCTCTTTGCCAGGATCAAGATTTTCCAAGGTCCCTGTGTCTTTCTGGAAAAGCATAAAACTCTACTTTTTTTTTTTTTTTTTTTTTTTGAGACTCTTGCTGCTCAGGCAGGCAGATTGGGATCTTTGTGGATTCTTAGTGTTCTCATACATTTGCTGTGGGAGACTAACAAAGTGACACTGGATTGTCATTTTTTTCAGTAGTTCCTATGCTTCATCCTTCGTACCCTGAGATTCTTCCTATTCTTTCTTCTCTCAGCCAGATCCTGGCTCATCTCTCTGCCAGCACACAGCATCAATGTGTCTTTTTTTGTTCTGCAGCTGAGATTGTCTCAGTCGCTCTGGGCTGATCTTTACTCGGCAGCTCTATGAGAGCTTCATATTTTCAGTTTTGGAAATGAAATTAACTGAATCCCTGGTGACTCTGGATGTTTGCTGTAGGGAAAATGTGGTTAAGCTTGAGACCTGAGTTTAGAAACGTCCCAGCTGCCCTGATTCAGAGATACAGTGGTGAAAAATAAGGTTATGTAATTAGTATTTCTTTTATATTAGGAAGGTATGATAGAACTTCTACTGTTCTTTGCTGCTACTCTATTCCACTTCACCAGGCACACAACTCATTTCAGTCCTTCTTCCCTCTGTAGAACAGATTTGTCAGGGCAATGATCATCACTATTTCTTGTATAAGAGTGAAGAGGCTATTGAGGCTCTGGCCTCACATGAGGTCATTTCTACCAAGAACAGTCAAGGGAATGGCCTGCATACTCTGTCAAATGTCTAAAACGTGAAGCTATCCCACCCTGATTCGATTCAAGACAAAAACATGCCCTTTCTTCCTAAAAAAACCTGAATCTATTCTCAGACTATTTGCATGCAAGTTCCCAAAGAAATAATTATTTCTGCGGTTTTAAATCTGCCTAGGCATTTTCATGCCAGTGTGCATGTCTGCTCAACAGTTTTCTTGATTAATAACTTCTGGCTATGGTCCAGGAACTGTGTGAGGACTTAGAGTAACAATATTAATCCGATTGAAGTGATATTGTCAAAGTTAATTTGGAAGCCAGGACTTTTGGTAAACACTTCTGTATTCCTTGCATTGTATTTGCAAGGAGGAAGTTGATAAGTGACTGACTTTTACACACTCTTTGTTTGCAGCTCTTCCTGGGTTGGTCCAAATAGCAACCTGATTCAGCTTCTGGTCAGACCTGAACACTACAGGCCGTTTGTGTAACCAAAAAAATCAGTGGGCTTCTTGTCCAGGAGACCAGAAGCATGTGGGCCCTTACTAATGCACAGCCCCACCCTTGCAAGACATTACCAAAGGAAAATTCATATTGTGGTAGCACTTACTGGCAACAACCAGGCTTACCCATTTGGCTGGGTATTGTCCTGGCTCTGAGAAATTATAATTGCTGCCTTATAAACTCTAAGATCAAAACAATGCCCAGCAGATGGTTTAGATAAACAAGTCAATTTATGCATGTATGTTGGAGGGACAGATGAGTTCCTAGTTGGTAAGCAGCAGTAACTGTACCTGAAAATCTAAAACATCAGTACTAGAGGAACTGAAATAATAGGAGGAGGCACCTCCACACAAATTAGTCTGAAAAGCTTCACTGCAGAGGGAAATTGAGGCAGGTCATAAGGAGGAGGTTAGGAAAACTCTGGGAGCAGCCATGATTACCATGGACCCAGAACATGACATGGCTCACATGTAGCAGGGAAGCAGTGTCTGCATTGTGGCTGGTTGGGTCACATATTATACCTTTGCTGCTTTAGTAGGGGGGCTGCTGCTCTGCATGGGCCCGTGCAGTCGTGGGCCGCCCAAAAGTAGTGTACAACGCTGGACCTGAGCTCTGGTGCCGCTCTGTCCACAAGGAACTTCCATCTTGCCCCACAGCCCTGAAGGCCCTGCTCTCTCTGTCCTGTCTGGCTGTGGATGTACCTGGAAGGACTGACCATGACTAAGAACCAGCAAGGTTTTTTAATGTTGGTTCACCTTGGAAAATGTAAAGCAGCTGCACTGGCGAGAGGGGTCTGTCTCGGCTGTGGCACAGCTGAACTGCCAGGCTGGCAGGGAGTGATGGGGAGCACCCCATGGTACCTGGGCCTCAAGAAGGCAGACCCCCTGGATGGCCAGTGCTGTGAGCACCCCTCTGTATTCAAGGCACAGTCAGGCACTGCTGGGGGAGGGAAGGAGAGCGCACAAGACAGGAGCAGTTGGCAGAGCATGCTTTAATGTACTTTTTGAAACAGAGGTTCAGTGTGAGAAACAAGGAGCCAGCTTTGGGCAGAACTTTGAGTTTAATTAGCACATTCTATTGTACCTCTTCTCATTCAAGACCTATGGAATGAGTGGGGTAGGAAAGAAGGGTAGCAGGAGACAGTCTTTAAAAAGGAGTTAGGCTAAGAAGAAGGCTGGTAGGCAGTTAAGCCTGCCTACACTGTAGGCCTGTTTAGCAAAACTGTTTATGATGCTCTGCCTGTGGAGGAGATATTGTTCTGCTTGGATTTATTACAGTGCCAAATTACTTCCTTTGGTATGTGAGTTTTTGCCTATGGTGACAAAAAATGTTTCCCGAAATTTCAAAAAGAATACAATCAAACCAAACTGAAACCTGTATTGTATGTTTACGGCATTTTGGCATTAAAATAATTGTAAATGATGATCAGAGCAGGTATTTAAAAGTAACAGTGTGGAACTGTTGAATTCTCCACAAAAAGTGATTTTTTTAACAACTTTTCTTCATAAAAATTGCCCAGATCATGTCTGCAGGGCTTGTGTACATGAAGTACACATTTGTGTGTACAGACTTATTTCAATGCATTCAATTAGCTCTTAAACTTTGATAAAAATGCAGACAAGCTTTTCAATATCTTTTAGGACAGCTTTAGACAACACTTACTGACAACATTAGACTAACTTACTGACAAGCTGTGTTTTTGTTACAGAAAACCTCCAGCCCTGCAGAACTTATGTCCTTTCCAAAGACGCCTTGTGCAGTGGTTGTCACTGGTATTGTGACAGCTTTCTAAAACCCTGTGCCTGCAGAGAAATTCACAGGAGCCTGATGCACCACATCCTGCCTTCTTTGTGATCCTGTGATGCTGAACTTCCTCCGTCTCTGCAGATGCATTGCAACCATGGTGAAGTCTAGAAGAGTGCACTTGCTCCTGATCCTGGTAGTTCTGTTCTTCCTCCTCATCCACTTCCTGCCCTGTAACAACAATGCCCCCTTGGAAGAAAAACCTTCTCCAGTCCACATCCTCATTCTCTCCTCCTGGCGATCAGGATCTTCCTTCACTGGACAAATCTTCAGCCAGCACCCCAGTGTTTTCTACCTGATGGAGCCCGCATGGCATGTCTGGGTTAAGATGTCTCAGAACAGTGCCAAAGTCTTACACATGGCAGTGCGGGACTTAGTCCGGTCGGTCTTTCTGTGTGACATGTCTGTGTTTGATGCTTACATGTCTAGCCAGAAGAAAAAGTCCGATTTATTTCTATGGGAGACAAGCCGAGCCTTGTGCTCCCCACCTGCCTGTGACTTGTTCAATCGCACTGACATAATCACTGCAAGCAATTGCAAAAAGATCTGCAGCAAGTACCCATTCAGCAAGGTGGAGGAAGCTTGTAAAACCTACAGCCACATTGCCATCAAGGAGGTTCGGTTCTTTGATCTGAAAGTCCTTTACCCCCTCCTCAATGATCCGTCCCTCAACCTCAAAATTATTCACTTGGTCCGTGATCCCCGGGCTGTGTTCAGTTCCCGCGAGAAAACAGTGGCAGACCTGAAACGTGACAGTAACATTATTATGGGGTCTTGGGGGGCAAAGGGTGAAATGATGCCCTACAACACAATGCAAGTAATTTGCAAAAGTCATGTTGAGATTTATAAGGCAGGCAGTCAGGCCACTCCCAGCTTCCTGAAAGACCGATACTTGCTGGTTCGCTACGAAGACATTGTCAGAGACCCGCTGGCAAAGGCTGCGCAGATGTACAGGTTTGCAGAACTCCATTTCACACCAGAACTACAGAAGTGGGTGCACAACATCACTCATGGGAAAGGTCTCGGAGCACGGGCCTTTGGAATTGAGTCCAGAGATGCACAGAGAGTATCCCAGGCCTGGAGGAAGACACTTCCCTTCCAGAAAATTAAAAAAGTGCAAAATGTGTGCAAGGATGCGATGGACTTGCTGGGCTACCGGCTCATTCAATCTGAAGAAGAGCAAAAGAATATGTCACTGGATCTTTTGTTTGCCCAGAACTCCTCTGAGTACCAAAGTCTAAAGGCAGAAAAGCTGGTGTCTGTACCTACTCTCTGAAGCCTGCAGAGTGCAGAACTGTTCACTAGAACAAAAGAGGACAGAGGTGCAGGCATAGAAGTGTAAGGACGTGTGCATGGATGTAAGGACAAGTAACATAGGAATCCTGACTGCATTCACGAGAGCTCTCAGAAGCTCTAAGGCCCCTGGAGATTCAGCCACAATGAAGGCTGAAGTAATGCGAGTTTGTTCTCCAAATTATGTTTAGATTGGAGCACATGGAATAGCAAAGCAGTGGGACTAGATATCAGAACTCAACCCTGCCACAGACCACAGTTAAGTACTGGGGAAAACACACGGAGCAATTGCACTGCAAAGGAAGAGGAAATATAAAAGGAAGCTGAATAGAGAGAACATTATTTGCTGTGCTGCCACATGGGATATGTAATACCAGAAGAGATGTAAGGATGATCAACATTTGGTTTCTGGAAAGATGCTTTTTTTTTGAACACTTGAGTTTTCAAGCCTAGTTTTCCTTTTGCTCCATTCCTTTGTCTGGGTATCCAGCCTTGCTGGTAATGTTGGGGAAATGTTTGTGTTCACTTACTGTATAATGGGAAAATGGAATAAACCCACTATTTTTGAAAATAAAAACTCCTGGATTTGCATGTGGGGATCCATTTCTGAGATTATATGAATCCATTTATTTTTTTAGCTGAAATAATTCTGTCTTCTAGCTTTCAAACCTGAGAATAGTTGGGAGTTCTCACAGTCCACATGTGTGACTGGAATTCATGCTAAGGCTGAGATCCTAAAGACAAGGTAAGGACACGGATTCCATTGGTATAAATACTGGAACTGGGAAGATAGGTTTATAGGAGTGGACTGAAGAAGCCCATGGCACAATTGGAGATGCCATTCTCCCACCTCCAATGGGAATATGTAGCTCAAACCAGAACAACAGAATTATTTTTACCTGGTTTTATCGGTGTTCTAGAAGACAAGAAGAAAAACTTGTTACCAGACTTGGGGAGGAGTGAAATGCCTACAAATACCTCTTCCTAAACATCTATTCCACATGTAAATTGGGGAGTCCCTTTAACACGTATCTACAGATCACTTGCTACCTTAGCAATGTGGATATCTATATTCCTACAGCTAAACCTCTAATCCCTGCAAAGGGTGGGATGTTTTATTATGGAAATAATAGAGTTATTATGGGGGATCTTGTTTTTGAATCACAAAATCCATGCTGAGCAGGCAGCACTGGCATCATGATACTAAGTCCACGGAAAACAAGGCATTTTCCTTTACAGTGTTTATGCCAACAGGGCAGGTAGGCTGACATAGAGAAGTGGTACTTGTACTGTGCCAGAGACGCACACAGACAGTTTTTCTTCAAAGTACCTTTAAAATAGACATTAACATATGCAGCTAATAGCATGGGGTCTCAGAAGCCTCTTCTTATTGAAGTTATAGTAAAGAGCTTCCTACTTTAAGTGCCAAGAAGCCTGATTTTGAACAAAAATAGTCTTTTCAATACATTGCTAATTATATCTCTACGTTAACCAACGTGCTTGAGTGGCTTAAGTTTTATTATAAATACTTATCTTCAGTGGACTCAACCAATGCTGTGTATCAAATGTTTACCTGAACAAAAACCTTTCATAGTGTTTCCAGTCAGTCAGTAAATAAATGACATAAAAGTAATATATAATACATTTTCTTAGTATACTGCTTTGAAAATTACTTTCACTTCTGCTTCCTAGAATGGGAAGGTTTTTGGTGCAAGAGGTGACAAATGTCCTGTTCACAAACCTGGTCATCAGCAGTACCTCGATTTTAAATCCAGCTGGTAAAGTTTCTAATTAAAAAAAATCTTACTCTTTTATTTGCTGTGATGTCTTGCACTCCCTTGTTAAGTGCTTGTCTGGCTTTCCACACAAACCAAATAACCAGTCTGAACAGCATGAATGTGCCAAATAATTCGTGGTTTTGCAGCAGGAATGACCTGTCCAGTAAAACACTGCATAGTGCTGTTTTAGCATTTATTTGGTTACATTGGTTAACCCCCCAGTGTTTCAGGTGTTTCTCTGGTTTTCTGAAATAGTAGTCTCATTATATCAAACTGTTACTTACTTTCAAGATCATCTGAATTTGGCTTAAAATCAGCAATTTCCCAATCCACCTTGAGTGCCACAGTGCAATAAGCAAAAAACCCAAAACATAAATCTTTAGGAAAAAAAAAATTTCCTTTTACCAGCCCATTTAATATCACCAAAAGAACGAACTCCGGATTTATAGGATTCACTTCAAATAATATTAAGTGACCAGAGCACAATGTGCTAAAAGTACAGAGTTTTTCAGATTGTGACTCTATACTAGCAAGGGTGTTCTCTCTTAAACACAACTTAGATGATACCTTAACTCTGGGCACTCTTAGTTAACTTGTCTCTCCTACTTCTGCTGTTGCACATGGCCCTGGAAGCTGGTGTACTTTTTCCAACTAGAATATATGGTCTGGTACATGTGTTACTTTGCCTAGATTAAGGAAGCTGCAACACTTCGATCTGTAGAGATAAAAACGGGCCTTTTATTAAAAAAAAATTAAAATTCTGAAACTTCATAATGTTGATAAAATTTTCCATCACATTTCTGAAATGACTGTAAAGTTCTTGCCACAGTCCTAGATCAGTTGTCCTCCTCTTGCTAACTCTTCCTAAATGCTATCCGCTTTGCTACATTTTCAGCTCCAAATTTTGCTATCAATTTATTTCTGACATGTTCATCATCCTTTAGCAATTCTAAATCATCCTCTCTGCTCCACACAGGGTAGCCATCCAAGCGCTGCCCCATCTGCAGAAAGTCTGAAGTAGCCTCCACTTCACCACTGTTTTTCAGAAAGGCCTGAGTAACAGTGAACAGGTCCACACTGAACTTCTCCATGAAGTGCTGCATAGTTTTTACTACTTCTCCCACCACATTGGAAGAACAAGTGCTTGTTGGTCTTTCTTCCCTTTGTAACTGAGTGTCAGGGAAAGCAGAGTCCTCTAGTCCAGTTTTCAAATCAAATGCTGTTTCTCCTGGGGAACTTCCTCCTCCATCTTGTGTAGAAAGTTCTTCTGAAACGTCTGAAGCGTCACTTTCTGACTGAGAGTAAGAGAAGTGGAGTCACCGATTAGACATGGTATTTTCTGGCCAGTTTTTTTTACTACTGCTACCAGCTACCTTCCACTGTGACTCTACAGTATATAAAAACCTCAGAAATTACTAGGCATAGTAAAATTCAATGACTGAAGTTAAGCTGTGTTAATGAAGATAGACTCGATCATAGAAAGGCATGAAATATAAGGGAGACTTTGAACAAACTGAGCATAAAAAGCAAAAGTGTTGATGCAGCTGCAGGAACATTTTATGCCTGAGGTGAAAAGATGATTTCTATTTGCCAACGCAGGTTTTAACGTGACAATCCCATCACATAAACCTCCTCATGTTAACTTGGGCAGAAAACAAAGTTAAGAAAAGCTGCAGCAGCGAGGCCCCATCCATCTCAAGCTACATCGCTGACAGCTCACAAGAAGCTCCCGTTCAGCCACAGAAGGGATGTCACGGTGCAAAGGCATTTCACTTGTTAATGATGCGGTGCTGCCGCCTGGGACACCGGGGAGGGTCGGCCCCGAGCCGCTCACGGCACCGCTGCTGCCTGGGCTGGCCACACTCACCTCCGCGCAATCGAACTCCCGGTTACTGGCCGCGAAGAGACCCGTGACCTGCGAGGCCTCCTCCGCCTGCGGGAGCTCTGCGGAAACACGCGGGCTCCGTCAGCGGGGCCCGGGCCCGGCCCCGCCACCGCCCCCCGCGCCCTGCCCGCCGTGTGCCCCGCGCTCACCCCCGAGCAGCGGCCGCAGGTGCCGCAGGAAGCGGTCGCGCATGGCCTGCCAGCTGTGCCGGGTCAGCCCGCTCCGCTCCAGCTCCATCCACAGCGCTCGCCCGCCCGCCCGCGCCGCGCCCCGGGCGCGCACCGCCCGCAGCAGCGCCGCGTCCTCGGCCTCCGTGAAGGACAGGCGGCAGCGCGGGGCGGCGGCGGCCGCGGCGGGGGCGGCAGGCGGGCAGCACGAAGGGCTCCATCGGCAGCCGCTCGTTGCGCTCCACGCACTCCGTCACGTACTCGGTGGAGACGGCCCCGCCGGGAGCCGCCTCGCCGGGCTCCGCCAGGAGTACGGCCCCGGGCTCCTGCACGCGGCACAGCCGCCCGCCGCCCGCCAGCACCAGCGGCGCCAGCCGCAACTTGGACACCCCGGGCCGCACGTAGAACCGCATCGGGCGCCCGTCGTCCCACAGGAACAGCGAACGGGACCGCGCCGCCCCCGCCGCGCCGTCTGCCATCGCCGCCCCGCGCCCGCCCGCCATCGCTGCCTCGGGCCGGCCCATCGCCAACACTCCCTCCGCCCGCCCATCGCCATCACCGCCCTCAGCCCGCCCATCGCCAACACTCCCCGCGCCCGCCCGTCGCCATCGCCGTCCCCAGCCCGCCCATCGCCATCATCGCCCCCATCCCGCCCCCCATCCCCGCCCATCGCCGGCCCATCGCCGTCACCCCGCGCGCAGGGCCGGGCGGGCGGAAGGGCGGCGCTGGCAGCGGGACATGGCGGCAGCGGCGGGAGCGGCGGAGCGCGTGTGCGAGGCGGCGGAGACCGAGTCGCACCTCAGCAAAAAGTGAGGGTGGGCGGGCAGGCGGGGCCGGGCCGGGGAGGTGAAGGTGAAAGTGAGGCAAGGCGAGGCAAGGCAAGGCAAGGCGAGTGTCCGGCTGACCCGGTGCGTGTCTCCGCCAAGGCACCCGGCGGAGCCCCATGCTGAGCCCCGGCGCCGCGCGGCTCCGCGGCTGGGCCTGGAGGGCCGCGCCCGCGCTCCGATGGCGGCAGGCGCTTCATGACCGAAGCAGGTCGGTGCTTTGCGTCTGGCTCGGACCGGTTCTGTCCTCACGGAGTCCCGGACGGCGGGGTCGGGAGCGCGGCAGGAGCTTGAGGGCCCTGGGGAAACGGGCCGGACCGCGAAGGCGGCTTCGGGAATCCTACGTTCCTCTGACCTTCTGCAGTGGGAACTTCGCCTTGTTTCACTTTCATGCAGCGTGGGGCTGTCAGGCTCATAGTAGTAAAATGGGAATGGAATGTCGCTGGGCGCTTGGGCGTTGTCTCCCCTGTTTCATTTCGCTTTCACTTTCCCGAAGTAATTGTGTCGTAGGAGATGAACTAAAAGAGTTCAAAGAATAAAGTGCTTAAGCATCATCTTGACTTTTGGGCAGATTAAAAGAAGTGATGGGGTTATTTGGTATCATTCTGCTAAAATCTTACTATACAATTGTTTCCCTGTAGAAGTATCAAGGTACCTGCTACATCTGGTTTCTCTTTTCCAGTGAGCTGAAAAGACGTTTAAAGGCTGAGAGAAAAATAGCTGAAAAAGAGGCAAAGCAGAAAGAGCAAAGTGAAAAGGATTTAAATAAGCCTTCCTTGACTTCTGAGAATAATGCTGGAGCTGATGAGGAAAGCTTGGATCCAAATGTGAGCATCTGGCTTCATGTTTATTACTGTCTGTGAATAAATCTTATTGACTTAAATTTTATTTTTTTATTCATGAGTAACAAAATGGCTTTTCCTGTATAAGGGCAGCTGCATTTTAATTTACAGCCTGTAATATATTTTGAGATTCTAATAAAATCGTTTGGTTTTGTTTGTTTCTGGTGACAGCAATACTTCAAGATTCGTAGCCATGCAATCCAGCAGCTGAAGGGCACCAATGAAGATCCCTATCCCCACAAGTTCCATGTAGACTTATCTCTCTCAGATTTTATAGACAAGTACAGTCACCTGCAGCCAGGAGATCACCTGACAGGCATTACAGTGAGAGTGGCAGGTAAAGGCTTCTGTGGGATACAGAAATATGTCTTAGCTGCTTTTATTGATGGGCTGGTCTCTTTGAATTTTGCTGATCCTCTGTTACTCGGTCATGAAATCTGTAGCAGTGTTAAATGATTTGAGACATGTCCCTTCAGACTGGGTGGACCTGTGCAGCATCCCTTACAACCAGAAGATCAGATTGTAATGTGAACTCCAGGACCCAAAGTGCATATGATATTAACTTTGAGACTTAACTGCTTCTCTTTCACAGTCAGCAACAGTTTTGCTCCACCTGGGCTTCCGGGATCATGCCTGAAGCTCTCGTGGCATGAGATTGGACTCAGCAGCAGTAATCCCGCTCGGTGCTGAGTGCAGAGATGATGATTCTTTGTCCAAGTGATAATTCTGTGGCTTTTGTCCCTGTTTCCTGTCTGCTGGGGACTCTTTTCCTGATGTTCTGCGTACTTTGATATTTAGGTCGAATCCATGCAAAGCGTGCCTCTGGAGGGAAACTGATTTTCTATGATCTTCGTGGCGAAGGAGTCAAGTTGCAGGTCATGGCAAATTCCAGGTAAGGAGAGGTATTCCCAGTAGCATCCTGAACAGCACTGTAGTTTGGGGCCTAGAGATTTGTATCTGAGTGTTCTATTTCATCTATGGGTTGGCTTAGGCAGCCAGATAATATTATTCTTAAATGTTTTGGTTGTCTTCCTTGTTGAGTAATTTTATTTATTTTTAAGGATTTGGTCTTGGGAGAGACTTGAGGGCCATTTGGAAGATTGAATTTTAAACAAACCTGCTTACATTTGTTTTGTCATTACAGCTTTTACAAATCCGAGGAAGAGTATTTCCGTGTTAACAACAAGCTACGTCGTGGGGACATTGTTGGTGTAGAGGGGAATCCTGGGAAAACAAAGAAAGGGGAACTGAGTATTATTCCTTATGAAATTACTCTGTTGTCTCCATGCCTGCACATGTTGCCTCATCTTCATTTTGGCCTCAAAGATAAGGTACTTGTCATACCTGCCAGTCTTGGAGGCAATTTCACAGATCATAGAAGGGTTAGAGTTGGAAGGGACCTTAAAGATCGTTTAGTTCCAACACCCCTACCATGGGCAGGAATGCCACAGATAGGTCTGAATGGATGACTTTTGGTACCCGTTGATGTTGTCAGTCAAAAAAGGAACATTAGTTTTGGTTTGATTTTTTTTTTTCCTTTTGCATCACATTTTGTCTAGCTTGTTCTAAGGGTATACGTTCTTTTCAGGAAACTAGGTATCGTCAGAGATACTTGGATTTAATTCTTAACGATTACGTGAGGCAGAAATTTATAACTCGTGCAAAGATCATCACTTACCTTCGGAGCTTTCTAGATGAGTTGGGCTTCCTTGAGGTAAGGCTTCAGTGTTTATTTCTCTCCCAATACTGAAAGTGTTCAGAGCTTCTCAGCTTCAAGGGTGCTTTATATTCAGGCTCATATGCAAAGTACTTCCAGAAGTGACAAGAATTAGCTTAGCATGGTGTGTTTTATCAGTTTAATGTAATGAGAGCCATTCCTTTCCTCTCTTTTTGAAGTTAAGACTATTCATCAATTGGTGAGGTTATGACTTGGGAACCTTTTATCAAGGTAGTACTCCAAACTATTTTTTCCTTATTCCACTACATTATGTGGAAACAACATCTCTGAAATGGTGTTTTGCGGCTGGAGATATAAGCAGGGTTTACTTCCTGTGGGTCAAACTGGATTGCCCATGTGCAGGAACTTGCACTTGACCTTGTTGACCTTCATTTTCTTCAGTGTAGACAGAGGATTTTGTGATAATGTCATGGCGCTGTTCCTGGCTTTGGTAACAGCAGGTTCATGTTTGTAGTAAATGTGAACGACTCTTGATAGCAACAGATCAATTATGTAAATTGTTTTTACTGACTGCATGAAAGAAGTGCACGTCAAAATTGTTTTTGTATATTTTTCATCTATTTCATGTAGTGAAATGTCAATAAGTGAAATACAAAGATTTGCCATCAAAACTAGGTGCAGTTTGTTTGGTTGATCTGTGCAGTTCTGTTTTGGAAACAGATCTGATGAAAACAGGACAATTTTTGTTGTTATTTTACAGATTGAAACTCCTATGATGAATATAATTCCAGGTGGAGCTGTGGCAAGACCATTTATCACATACCACAATGAATTGGAAATGAATTTGTATATGAGAATTGCTCCAGAGCTTTACCATAAGGTAGAATGCAAGCCTCTCATGGCTAAGTCTGTATTCTTCAAACTGTTTTAAAAAAGGAAATGTAGCTCAAATGAGAGTTATTCTTGAAGAAAAGTGGACTTGTCTCATCTTGAATGATATTTGTAAGGTTGTGCTGCAGTTGTGTGTTTGAGCTCTCTTTAAAGTCTTTTGAAAAAGTCAGTGTATTTACTACAATTTCATTTTGTTTAGATGTTGGTGGTTGGAGGTCTGGACAGAGTATATGAAATTGGGCGGCAGTTCCGGAATGAAGGAATCGATTTGACTCACAATCCTGAGTTCACAACTTGTGAATTCTACATGGCTTATGCAGACTACCATGACTTGATGGACATTACAGAGAAGTTGCTTTCAGGTGATGTATGCAGTATTAATAACAAAAGAGGAAGAATCTCTGGGAGAATTGCTTATTATGTGGCATACTCTTCTTCTAAACTCCAAGTTCCTTTTGTAGGGATGGTGAAACACATTACTGGGAGTTACAAGATCACTTATCATCCAGATGGTCCAGATGGACAGGCCTATGAGATAGATTTTACACCTCCCTTCCGGCGAATCAGCATGGTCTATGATCTGGAAAAGGCCCTGGGAGTGAAATTTCCACCAACTGAGCAGTTTGAAACTGAAGGTTAGATGCTGAGTATGAATGTCCTGTAATTCTTCCTTAACAGAAAGTGTGCAAAAGGTAGCAAGTTCTGAGCCTGCAGTTTGTCAGCTGCATTTTTGAGGTAGTACTAATGACGGGATTACTTCTCTGTGGTTTTGTCACTTTACCTGAGTCCAGAAAGAAGCCTTAATACTTTGCAGTCTTTGGCAGGATCTGACTCTTTTTGGCTCTTCCTTTGAGTATATGTGAAAGGATGTACTCAAGAAGTGTGATCTAGGGATTTCCTGATCTGTTGAAGGGATCCAACTTTTTACTTATTTCTTCTGTCTTTGGTGCAGTTGAGTTTCTGTGCCTGCAGTCATAGCTTAGGTGTATGATTATTATGGACTTTCTTCGAAATATACATGTGTGCCATTTTATTCCTGGAATCAAGAGACATAAAAAACCAAATTCATACACTTCTTAGTGATTTTTTTTTTCTTCCAATAATAATGTCCAGCAATCATGTGGTGGTATCAAATTTCTGAAGTATAAGATAACTTATATTTTACTGTAAATTATTAAAGCCAGGCACTATTTTTGTAGATTGACATTTAAGCTCATGGTTCTCCATGATGTCTATCATTAAGATTTTCTAAATCACTCTTATGACATGTTGAAGGATGTAGTAAGAACAAAAAATGGTTACTAGGGTGGCTTTTCTAATTTTTTGTTTACAATTTCAGAAACTCGCAAGTTCTTTGATAATCTTTGTGCAGAGAGAGACATTGAATGTCCACCTCCCAGGACAACAGCCAGGCTTCTTGACAAAGTAAGGGTGCTGTTTTTATAATCCTAATGTCTTTGAGGATTTATCTGTATCAACAGAAGCCTCTTCAGAGAAGAAGTTTAGCTGCACCTGGGAAAACGTGCTGAAGTGCATTTCAGCTATTGCCATATTAGAGCGAGAAAATTGGCTGTGTCAAAATCTTTTGTGTTGTCTACACTAAAACGTAGTTTACTTATGTCTGCTTAATTTGAGTGCTAGGGAATTTTAGTTTGATAGCTAGTCTCTTGTGGTTAAAGCAGATCTACTTTATCTTATGTCAGTTTTGTCTGTGAGATGTATCTGTATGTACCTTACCAAACAGGTAGACTTACCATGTACTTCTGTCAGCTGTATTCCTTTGTACCCAGACATTGTCTGACAGCTGTTTTTCTGATGTTTTTCCTATTGGCCTTTGCTGTAACATGCAAAATGAATTATTATATAGTTTTTGTTAGGTCATTTTTCTTATCTGACTCAGACACCCACTCAGTTAATGAAGACATTGCCATGATCAGAAATTATTACTTGGGAAACTTCAGATTTATGGTACCACCTTCAGTAGCAAAGGGAAGAAATCAGGATGCTTTGTGAAGGCAGTGTTAGGAAAGAGATATTGCTTTTGTACTCTGTGTAATTGTTTTTCTTTGTACTCTGTGTAATTGTTTTTCTTTGTACTCTGTGTAATTGTTTTTACTTTCATTTTCCCAGTTAGTTGGTGAATTCCTGGAAGTCACATGTATCAACCCTACATTCATCTGTGATCACCCACAGGTCATGAGTCCTCTTGCCAAATGGTAAGAGTATGAGTCACAGTCAGCATGTAATTCTTTTAAATCCTCTACCCCTATTTTATAAAAAAGAAAAAAAAAAAAAGAATTCACATTTGTGAAAACAGAGATTTTGATGTTGTGTGCTAATTTGCGAATTCTGACACAAATCAAGATTGGTTCCTGAGCTGTGAAACCCATCATCCAGGGAAAAAGTGTGTCGATGCTTAGTAGTTTGAAGTTTTGACAGCTGATAGTGCCAAGTGTGCACAGTCCCCCATAGTAATGCATGTGCTCTTTGCTTCAGTAAATATGTTAATTTTAAGGTTTGACTGTTTTGCCTCCCTCACTCAGGCATCGCTCCCATGCAGGACTGACCGAACGCTTCGAACTCTTTGTGATGAAGAAGGAAGTGTGCAATGCGTACACAGAGCTCAACGATCCCGTCCGACAGCGGGAGCTCTTTGAGGATCAGGCCAAGGTATGATGTCTTGCTGACAGTGAATCAATGATACAGACATGTAAGCAAAGAGTATTTCCTGTGTCTCCTCCAAATCAGTCATTAGTACCTACTGCTGAAAAGAGTTACTACTTTGAGGCATATTGGCTCAGTCAAGTGAAAGCCTGTCATTAAAATGTAATTTTTCTTAAAGGAACCTTGCTCTCTAAGGTAAGGAACCTTGCTCTGTAAGGTAAACAAGTCCAAACACTGCTGTTGATTGGGTTTTTTTAGTGCAACTTCGTTTTGGAATATCTTCCCTTTTATTCTACCTAAAGTACTAATCTGGAAAAATGCAAATGAGCAAAGTGTTTTTCCGTGTCTTGCCTAGGTTGAAAGTTATTTTTCCCCAGCTAAGTATTTATGTAGTCATATGTCAAGTAAAAAGGGGCAGCAGTGCAAAGATTTCTTGTCCCACCTGTATTAACATATTTCTTATTGGCTATCAGTGTCCCCAGAATACCAAAGCTTTTTAAAGCCCAAAACAGTCTGTCCATGCCTCACCTAAAGAGACCCTTCGCTAGACAGATTCACTGCAATGGACAGGACTTCTGATACTCTGATATGGGGACGGCACGTAATAGCAATGGAGAACCTTCTCAGCAACGTTCTCCTACAAGTTACGAGGCTGCCAGCACCACAAACAAACCGGGTTAACTCTAGCAACTCACAAAATAACTTTTATTAATATAAGTATGTGACAAACTACAGTAGGGTTCACATCACTGGTGATAACGTTTAACTGCATGATGGCACTTAACTAATAAAAAACCCAAAAACCAGAAGCATACTTTACAAAACAATACAACTACCTAAGCCTTAATACAAAACTCAAGCAATCCCCCTCCACGACAGACCAATGTACAGAGACTAGAACAAAATCTAAACACACTCATTAACACAAAGCAAAAAAAAAAAAAAAAAAAGAATATAGCCGCTTCCCACTAACACACGTTTTAATTCACTAAGATAAGGAAGTGCACACCTTAAAGCAAAACATGAACAACGAGTCAGCAATAAAGTACAATTTAGAACAACCAAAAAAAAGAATATTGAGTAAGATATATCCCTGGTAAGTTACAAGGTGTAGGGCAAGGTAAAATTAGTATCTCTAAAGCAAAGTAGCAAAGTACAATTAGTAGATAAGATGGTGAAAGATGGTCATCTATAAGGTATAAGGCAAGGTCAAGGTAAAGAAAGCCAAGTAAATGGTTGCTCACCCCTACAGTGTCCAAAGGAAGACAGGGCAGCTTGTCAGTTACCCCTGCAGAGATGATGGAACTTCTCCCCAATTTTGTTTGTGTCTGATCTCTTTTTATAATTTTTTTTCTTAAGCAGTTTGAGTGCCTATAGTCAATAATAATTTTTGGGGTGATAAACAGATGACATAGGCCTTAGGATCAGCTCCCTGTGTTCCCATAGGATGTTGTGAAGAAAGGCCATGCTTTTAACATAACACTCCATCCCTTGGTAATCCTATCACTCTGTTGCTGAGAAGTCTCCCCATTTTGCTGAGGACTTTCGGGAAGCCATGGTGGTCTCTTTGTCCCTCTTTGTGACACTGGGTTCCTGGGAATGCCCCCTCCAGGTGCTGAGGTGTTCCCTGTAACCATAACTGATCAGGACGGTCATCCTGGCCTTAAATTGGTCTATCACCCTACAGTCATACAACATTATACTTTAAGTTCTTAAATAAATTTTCATGTCCAGTAAGAGTTTGAATGCTGTGTAAGAAATAGCCTAATGTCCTGAACTGAGTTATTAATATTTTAAGTCAACTCGCAGAGCAGAGCTGCAGATTAGAAATTATTAGCTTGCAAATTTATGGTACTAGGTTTCTCTAAATAATAGGCCTCTTAAAGGAGTGACTGAAACTCATTTTGTTATTAATTAGGTATACACAGCCATGAATGCATGCTTGTCCCCAAATGATTGAGGTCAGATGCTGTGGTTTGCAGAAACAAAGCTGTCCTTTATACTCTCTAATCGCTTCATAGTGCCTGAGAGGATTAAACAATTGTCAAAGTCAGTAAAATAGACTTGTGTTAACTAACTTACTTGATAGTAAGTTTCAATCTTCTGCTGTATGGCTTTGAAAATAGCCTTTTTTTACTGAAGTGAAGAGCCTGGGCTTTTGCCAAGAAAGGAAAATGACAGGTCAGCAAGGAACTGAGCCTGGAGCTATTTTGGGAGCATCTGTACAAGTGACCCCCACAGTTGTCCAGGTGCTACAGTTCCTCCATTTGTTACTTGCTTCCACAGCTGTACAGAGCTTAGGTTTCATCAGCTACATGGCTGCTACAAGTACTAGTATTCCTCTTTTATGGTAGCAAAAGTAATGCTATCTAGCTCTGTACAATCCACCTTTTACTATTAATTTCCTCATTTAGGCAAAAGCTGCAGGTGATGATGAAGCCATGTTTATTGATGAAAACTTCTGCACCGCACTGGAGTATGGCCTTCCTCCTACAGCCGGCTGGGGCATGGGAATTGATCGCTTGACCATGTTCCTTACAGACTCCAATAACATCAAGGTAAGCATCGGCAGTGGCAGTGCCTACTGCAGGCTCCTCGGGGAGCAGGGAATGGGATTCTGCAAAGCTGGCCATCTCCTCAACACTGCAGCTGTGGGAGGGGCCTGGAGACCAGTGACAGGCAGTGCAGCCGTGGGAGGGGCCTGGAGATGCACAATCCCTCTAGGAAAAGCTTCATTGTGCCTGCTTGGCTCTGGGGAGGCTGAGCTAGGCCAGGGCTGCTCTCACAAGACCTGCTTGCTGTACTGATGCTGTCACCATTCACAGGAGGTGCTGCTCTTCCCTGCCATGAAGCCAGAGGACAACAAGAAGGAGGCACAGCCTGAGCCCCCCGCCGAAGGCACCTCTGTGTGAGGCTCCAGACCGCTGCGGGCACCTCTGTGTGAGCACGGGGTGGCGCAGACATAAATAAAGGCAATGCTCTTTGCACCCTGAAAAAGATTGTTAATGCTGTTACCTGACTGTGCTTAATTTACCTGAGAAACTTGCCTGAGATTAATGTTGTTGAAAGGTTTCTTTTTCTGAGAAATTTGCCTGAGAATCCTATAACCTTTAAGATAAGACACATAGTTTGAACATGAAAAGTATGTATGTTTGGTTTTGTATTGCTTAAAAGGAGTAACCAATGAGAAAGCAGCCTCCAATGCTGTGAGATACCCAACCAAGAATGAAGAACAGAAGAACCAGTTTCATGAGCTGGAAATGAGACAACTGAAAGGGAACCGTAAAACACTATCTGCTAAATCTTTTATATTCCAAATTAAGTTTGAATTTATTAGTATAAGTTTTTTAAAGATTTTAATTTTTTCTACTAACACTTTAATAGAAAACAGTTAATAAAGAATTAACGTACAATTATTTTAGGCTAAAGTTCTGTGTACAAGAACCTTTGCTTTTGCTTAACTTGCTGAGAATTTTCTAATTTTTAGATAACAGGAACTGGGAAAGGAGCATAACTTTTGCAAAGAGCATATATCTGTGAACTGACAAGTAACCAATCAACATCCAGCGTTCAAGGCTGTGAGACAAGTCATTCGAAGAGAAAAGATACAAGCAGTACAACGGAATTATTTATGGACTAAGAAGATGTGTTTCTGAGAGACTGTACTTGTAATAAAAGGACGCTAGATGGGAGCAGAGACCGTGAAATAATGACATCGATAAATAAAGAGTGGGCGCGGACTAGGCGCGATTTAGCGTGAATGTGTAATGGCTTGTGGAAAGATAAGGGTTTTGCTTTTGTGGTGTTGTTCGAGCACTTAAGAACGGGTTTATTCCCGGTGCGCCCCAGTGCTGTCAGTAAAGGACCCCTGCTCGACGCTGCCGAAATTCCCGTGGTGGGGGAATCTTTGCTCCGACCCCGCTCTCTGCGCGCGTGCGCGGGAGCCTCCCAGGGGCGCGTGCGCGGCCGTGTCCCCGCCCGTGTCCTCACAGGGCGCGGGTGGCGGTGCGGGTGGCCGCGTTGTGTTCGCGGGGTGTCACGGGCAGGGAGGGAACCCGCACCTGACCGGCAGCCATGTGGTCAGCCGATGAAATCGCTGGGCTGTGCTACCTCCATTACAGGACGAGACTCCCCAAGCAGGGGAAGCCAGACCCAAAGAGGGAATGGACTTCACTGGCAGCTGTTGTCAAAGTGGAGTCTGCAGCCCAGACTGAGGTTCTCGGTAGTCCAGGGAACCTCCAGGGTAAGAATGAGTTGGGATAGGGGTGGGAGGTGGGGAAGGGGGAGAGGAGGTGGCGGTCCTTGATGCGCTTCCCCCCCCCGCCCCCAAGATGACTTTTAAGAGAAGCATACACCCCTTCCTGTCCCATTTCTATCTCCACCCAAATTCTTTACTCTTTGTGATTGTAAAAGCTTTTACAACTTCTGTCTGGAAAGGGATGGTTATAGTGAAACGCTGTTCTTCCCAGACTAACTAAGAAGGTGAAAGCCTGCATTTGGCTGTTCAGTACGTGTTGAAGGTCTAGGCAGAACCTGAATTCCTAATATAAACACTAAAATGTTTAGCTGCTATTTGAAAGAATTCTAGAAAGCTCTCAGTTTACTCTCCTTTAACAGACTGTCTTACTGCATTTTGCACTTGTGTTTATTCTCCTTTCTCTTACCTGGCACTTCAGTGTTGTCAGGCAGATTGTATCCTGTGTTTATTACTTACGTGTTTGGGGAATGCTCTGCCAGTGTCCACTTGTGCTGCCTGGCACATCAAGCCTGTAATGGCGTTCCTGCCTTGCCATCATAGACTTTTCTTCACACTGGTGCCTCTGCCTCCTGTATTCAGTTCTGCATCTGTTTCTTTTCTGTAAGGTTGCATGGCCTATCTCCCTGTCCATTCCCTTCTACACGATGTTCTGTGTGTTGTCTTACCAGAATGACTGTGTGAGAGCATCACTTCTGGCAATAGTTGGTGATAGTTTGTTCAGTTAATGTTTCTTTTTCAGTAACTAAAGAAGTTGTTGCTATGGGAACTGGAACAAAATGTATTGGCCAGAACAAAATGAGAAAAAATGGTAAGTATGGTGTAAAATTCAAGAACGGACTATCTATGTTACCTTCTCTCTTGCTGGTGTCGTAGAATCAATAAAAATGTACAAGGCATTCTGCTCAGACTTATTCTGGAATGAAGCCAGACCTCACCTTATGAAAGAGAGAGGAGCTTAGACAACCTGAAAGATTGCTGCACTTGCTGGCTTAAAGGTGAATGAACTTTTTGTATGTTGAAATGTTTAGCTTAGGCCTTGAGTCTGCATACTCAAAGACATTATAGCTAAAAGCAAAGCAAAACACAAGCAAAGTAATTGTGCTTTGGTTACCTGACAGTCTAGTTTGGCTGTGGTCTGATGCAAAAGATGCCACTACTGAGTTTGGATAGGGGTGACACCAGGAAGGCACTAACAGGCTTTTTCTCCCTTACTGTATATTCTGAAACTAGGTAGTTTGAAGTGTTTGTACCAAAAGTGTATGGGTTAGATACATGACTGCCCACAACTGCCATTTCTCATTATTTATTGCAGGGCTTTCCTTGCTCTGCCATTTTTATCCTTCATTTGTGTAGGCTCCTTTTGTGGTGATTGGAAATTTAAATATGTTGCAATAACGTAATACCAATGTTAAACCTTCAAATGCTAACAGATCTGGAGAACTGTCCTATGTGAAATTCTGTTTGCTTTGTTTGTCTGCTTTTCAGTCATGATTCATATTCTCACTTGGTTGTTGCTTTAGGAGACATTTTGAATGACAGTCATGCTGAAGTTGTGGCCAAGAGGAGCTTCCAGAGGTGAGGCGTGAAGTTCGTGTGCTGTTACTCAACGCCACTTGAAGTGCTTGAGATACAAATGGTTTTGATCTATTGCTGAAATAGCCATATTTTGCAGCTTCAGATAGGAGAATGTAATGAAACACTGCATTATTTTTTCTGCAGGCAACACTGTTTCCCATTGTTAGCAAGATTTTAGCCTTACTTCAACACTTCTGGTGTTAAAGGTCTCTGTACAAAAGCTTGTTTCTTCTGTGTTCTTGTAGAGCCTCTTTATAAAGAATTAGGGTCTAATTTCATGTGACATCAATGCAGGTCTGATAACTATTGGTCAAGGGTAGAAGTTTTGCTGTTTCCCACATACCAGTCCTCTTGTTTACATGGGATAAGCAGGTTCAAGGAACTGAGGCAGGAGAATAGTAATTCTGCAGAAATGACTACACTTCTTGCAATTCGATACCACCAAACCGAGTCTTACAGGATCAGATGAGTTCCAGTGCTGGTAGAAATGCACACAGTGGAAGGAGAGTACCTTATATACACAATTTGAGGAGATACTTAACTCCACTGAATCCAACTCCTTGAGGTCTGTTATTGAAATTCCAATTATGTGTTTTTGTTTATGGAGTATGTTGGATCCCATCTATCTGTAGAAGAATAACTGATTGGCTTCTCATACACTCCATCAGGAAAGAACAGGCACTAGAGGGCATCTAAGTTTTGTTGTTTTCCCATGCATCAAAAATGAAGTAAATGTTTCATGAAAATTTTCTGCCTAACAGGTACCTTCTCCATCAGATGTGGCTGGCAGCTTCCCATCAGCAGTGCAGTATCTTTAGTCCGGGAACTGAAACTGGAAAATGGAAACTCAAACCAAATATCATATTTGTTTTCTTCTCCAGTCATACCCCATGTGAGTATGCTGGAGTGAACCAATTACCTTGCTCCCACTTTTAGAATCTTTTCTGCCCCTTGTCTTTCTTTGGTCTCTCTTTGGTCTGGAGTGGGAGTGAGGCAGTAATTCATGTTACTGGTATGTGCCTGAAGATGTACTTGACTGGTCCTCTACAGATAGATGTGGCATTTTATCTCACCAGATGAGAGCTCAGTAAATCTGATATACTGCTCATTATATGGTAGAATGTTTCACTTTAAGCAATAATAGCTAGGATTTTCTTTTCCAGAAACTAACATACTCGTTAAAGGTCCTGTCATATTGTGTGGTTGCTTTGCTTTAAACATTCTCCTTGGATTAAAATTCTAATAAAAAATGCTGACATTTACCACAGTTACTAAAAACAACCGAACAAACAATACCCCCCTCAACCCAGTGAAACAAAAAACCCCAAAAAACCCACAAAAAACCTGAAACCAACAAGCAAACCAAAACCAACCAAAAAAAACACCCCCAAAATGACCCCCCCCAACTAAAACCAAACTCCTGAAGAACAACAAGAAAAGCCCCACCAACAAAACAACTCCAGCTCCCCAACTCAGAACTTTTTATGGAATGCAATGAAATTTCTGTCATGGAAAATGCTCTTTTTGTCACCAGGCCTGTCAGACTTGCTTTGCTTGCTTTGAGCTTGTTTCAGTGATACAGATTGAAGTTTTCACCCTTATTTGACAAATTATTCTTTAATTACTCTTTTGAGGTTCACGTTGTTTAGTTAGATCAGACTGGTTTTCCTGTAAGTCTTCAGCACTGGTTGTAGTCTGTCAAATGCCTTTGTTACCTTTTCCTTTACAGATTTTGTTCTAAATTTTGCTTGTTTCTTATGTAGAAAGCAAAACTTGAAACTGAGCATATATTGGCTCAAATTTCAGTGAAATCTGATTTATCACTGCACAGGACAATGTTGTTTTAAAACCACGTTCTTGTAGTTAAATTTTCCTGAGTGCAACTCTGTGAAAGCAACAGTAGTTGTGATACTACTGGTATGACATGTTCCAGTCATGAAATGTGGTTTTGGCTAATTTTATGTTATTTCTTTGGTTCTAGGTGGAGATGCTTCTATTATTCCAATCACTGAACCAGAGAACCAGCTTTCTAAGCCAGTGACTGCAGATGATGCAGCTGGACAATCAGCAGAGTGCAGAAGTAACCACGATCATTTGTGTCCAGAAGATAAAAGGAAAGCAGAGAGCATGGCAAGTAATCGTGCAATCAAGAGAATGAAGACTGGAGATGATGGTTGTTTTTCCACAATCACTGAAGACCTGCCTGTTCAGCAAGAATCCGTAAAACGAGAAGATAACACAAATAAAAAATGCTGTGAATGTTCTGCAGAGGTGCAAACAGCTAATAAGGAGACTGGCTTAGTGAGACCAAAGGTAGTAGATGTTCATAGAACTGGAGCCAAATGTGTGCCTGGAGAGCTGGATGATGCCCGAACACCTGGGCTGGGCTACCACTGTGTGGGATTATTACGAGTGAAGCCAGGTCGTGGAGACAGAACATGCTCTATGTCCTGCAGTGATAAACTGGCTCGCTGGAATGTGTTAGGGTGCCAAGGAGCTCTTCTCATGCATTTCCTGCAGCATCCGGTGTATCTGTCAGCAGTTATAGTGGGGAAGTGTCCGTATAGCCAAGAAGCCATGCAGAGAGCAATCATCGAAAGGTAAGCGCTCTCCTTTGGAAATCAGATGGCGTGTGTGGATACAGTGAATTTGGAAAGACAGCATGTGCCACACAAATATCAGAACTTCAGAAAGCTTTTGACACTGCATCTTGTAAGGTCCTCATAGAGAACCTGTTAAACTACGAGCTGGATGAGCAGACATGTGGATTGAAATCTGAGTGGCTGAGCCCAGAGTCATTCAGACTCAGAGCCAGAGAGTAGTGATCACTGGGCAAAGTGTAGCTGAAGGTGTAAGTAGCCATGTACCCCAGGGTCAGTACTAGATCCAGTCCTGTTTAATATCTTCATTAATCATCTGGATGATGGTGCAGAGGATATGCCCAGCAAGTTTGCTGAAGACTCAAAATGGAGAGGAGTGGCTGATACGCCAGGGCATTGTGCTGCCATCCAGAGGGACCTCAACAGGCTGGAGAAAGGTAGGAACATCATGAAGTTCAGCAAGGGAAAGTGCAGCTTCCTGCATCTATACATGCTTGGGGCTGCCCAGATGGAAAGAAGCTGCACACAAAAGGATTAGGGTGTCCAGCTAGACCTGAAGTTGAAACCCTTTTTTACTGTGAGTGTGATGGAGCACTGGCAGATGTTGCCCAGAGAGGTTGTGGTGTCTCCCATCTTGGAGTTACTCAAAATTATCTGGACACTCCTGAGCAGCAGGCTGTAGGTGGCTTTGCTGGAGATGGGGCGGTTGGACCAGATGACTTACAAGAGGTCTCTTCCAACCTCAGGTGTTCTCTGATTTACTGAAATGTTCAGGACTAGCATGTGACAGCTTGCACTGGTCCACTGGAAGAAGACAGGGTTGTGTTACACTGGAAAGGCAAAGCTTATATGCATTTCCGTGGTGGTAAAAATTTGTCTGCTGCTTTAGTCTGAATTACATCCAAGATTCAATCTCTGTCCCTGCTGTCAGGAGTAGAGCTCTCCTAACACAACCTGTCACCTCAGGGAAATTTACGTGGAAGTGCAGTGCTGCTAAATGAGGAAAGTCATCTGTTGTGCCCTGGCTCGCTTTCTCCTCAGATCCTTGAACTGATGAAAACTATCTCAGCAATGAAAGGATAGGAAGTGGATGTTTTTCTTACTTGGGAGGCTAAAGGAGTCCAACAAAGGCATCTGCAAGTAGTAAAGAGTAAATGGATCTGGACAGAGTAGAGAGAAAGGAGAGCAAGAAAGAAACCAGGGAGCTGAACCATTTTCTTGAAGAGGCAGTTACTAGACCAGTTCATATGAAAGGTTTAACTTTGTTTAGTAACTCCTTTTGTCCATAGCCCTGCGTCCTTCAAGGATGATTTTAAGAGAGGTCATAGTCTGTTAATGGGGAAACTCTAACTACCTATCCAGTGGAGCTCTCTGTATAATCCTTTCCTTCCTCTGTAACTCATGTGACAAGAATTTGCCTAGCCTCATTATTCTTCAATTGCAAAGTCTATTCTTAGACTGCACTTTTTCAGACTACTGCATCTGACAAGACATCAGTCTTAATTTGTTCCTGCTCTATGTAAATATTATGGTGATTAAACACATATCCTTTTTTTGTCATATGCTAATCTCATTCAGTATGCAACGGTGATTTAAGATAACAAAGATGAGATTACACATGGAACTGCAAGTATATTTTGTGTCTATTTTGGCTTTGATTATGAACCTTTAGGCTCATTAAAAAATTGCTAATGTAATGTGATTGACTATGTAAGTGCTTAATTATTATTATTATTTTTCTTTGTGATTGCAGGAGTATATTGCAGCTTTTATCCTGCGTACTAGCTTTTAATAGACCTTTTAAAAAATCAATTCACTGTAGTTTTTCTAGAATGGTCAAGGTCATAATAAACTAATCTGGCTTGTTTTTGTTTTTTTCAACAAATACTTTTTGTTGAAGGGAAAAATGCCTCCAAACCTCATTGTCTCTCCTTTATAACTCATGTTGAATTCAGTTTTAATGAAAAAAGGAACATATTTTAGATGAAGGAAACTTACACCAAATGGGCTTGTTTGGGAAGAGCAGACTGAAAATCATTTGCATTTTTTTGGGTTTACTTTAGGTGTAAGCACATCTCATCTTTACCAGATGGTTTTCTGGCTCAGGAAGTTAAGCTGCTGCAGTCGGATCTTCGATTCGAACACAGTCGTGAGGCAGTTCAGGAAGGTCAAACTAACAGCAAAACAAAACTTGTTCCTTGTAGTGCAGGTGAGTTAACTTGGGCCAGTTGCATAACTGAGTGCAAAAGTCCAAATAGAAATGAGGTGGTTTGGATTGTTTGGAACAGAACGTCATTCAGTGCCAGTGCCAGAGGCAAAGTATGAACAGCAGGAAATTAATTTCAGGTCATAACTTAATTGCTAATAATTAATATTGTTCAGCTCGGTCTCTAGTTTCCTGTAGGGAGTTTTCAAACTGAATAAACACTTGGTTGATGACATTAAGAATTTATAATTTAAACACAGACAGAAAATGACCAGGGAAAACGAAAGTTCTCAGGGCACGAAGAAAACAAAAATATCAAAAGACTTCTTGTTTCAGTTAGTTTTGCATTCTCCTTGGTAATGAAAAGAAGACTTACCATGCTGAGTTATGCTTGTAATTGCTCCAGAAATCTGAACGAAGAAAGAATACAGAGTAGTATCGTGTAAAGGTTTAATTGATAGAGATTTTGGACATGGCATGTTTTGTCATGGTGATGAATGAATATGCAAGTCTCGTTGTGATTTAGCAACATGGTCTCATTTGGGGAAAAAAATGGAGCTGCCACTCTGTGTATGTTAAAGCAGTTTCTTTAAACTTGGACATGCCTGCCTTCTGCTGTCTGAAGCAAAACTGGAAGTTTTTCTATTACAATAGAGCTGATGATAAAATAGAATGGAAACAAAGGGTTCCTTAATGGAATTCAGATTCGTTAAATTGTAGTTATTTATAAGTTCCAGGAAGGAAACTCTTTTGATTTTCTGAGATAGGAAACAAAATTCATCATTGAAAAATAGTGCCAATTCAGTTATCAAAAAAGATCTGAAACAAACTGTGACTAAATTCAGTGTATGTCTGTCTTTCTGTACACTTTTCAGGTCATTCTGTTAAATGAATGATGCTTTATCACAGGGTTTTTTGCACATATGAATTATTCTGGGTTGATTCTTTTCTTGAAGGAGTGAAAATCAGAATAAACTCTAAATTCTGGGCTGTTACCCTGAGCATTGAAATATGCTCGATAGGAACATTTCAGCTGGTATTTTTAAAAAAGAAAAACATGTTCTAATATTTTGAAGTTTGAGATAATTGTGAAGAAGTGAAAGAATAGAAGGTGTTCTCATTTTTAAGTGACTTTGTATCTGCTTGTCATAATCTCATGTCCTCTGAGCAGCTGAGTTTTAGATACTCTACATGTGGAGGGTTTAATACCAATTGTATATATGTAATGTTATTTCATGCTACACAAGATTGTAATTTAGTGGAGTGATACAGAATTGTACTTCAATCACAGTGCAGGTACAATTGACACTTAGTGGAGTCTGACAGTTGCAGTTGAATCATAACCAGTCTTTGAGAGTCTTGGATGGCAAGATGGTCTTTAGAGTTAATGAACATGCAGCTGTTTTGCCCGTTAGGAACACAGAGAAATGGGAGAACTTAGGGAACAGAAGTTGTCTTGTGGCAGTAGAAGTTAAAGGACCTGATGTGCAGGGGCAGATGGGACATGCCACGTTCTGCCAACACTGCTGATGCTTTGCTGGTTACTTATAAATTGTAATGTGTCCTATGCAGAGTTTCAGCATTATGAAGTTTACAGTCTAAGATGATTACAAAGTTCCTAAAATTGGGGTAAAGGATAAGGTTGTTGCCATTTTCTACCTCTTTCAGCAAACTGTTTTTGTCTACTAGCTAATAATATTTTTCAAGTAAAGTCCACAGATGTTTGATGTACATCAGTTATCAAATATAGAACTACTTACACAATAAAATAATAGCAAACAATAAATTAATAAGGAAAACACTGAATGACTGGTGCAAGTAGCTTAGGGGAGTATTCACTGCCTGATGTGAAAATAAGCCATCTGACTTGGAAATTTCTTCATGCTTTGTCCAGACAGGATGTGCAAAAGAAAGTAGAATCCCCCTAAGAAAGGGAGAATTACAAAGCTGGAGGCCAGATATTTAGAGGCACGCATTCTTAAAGGATCTAATTAACATGAAAGCTCTCTATGTGTGTGTATGCGTGTTTTAATTTTTTTAAAAAATTAAATGAAGTTTACCTGTTCTTTTAGGTCCTGAAATTTTGGCCCTAGAGAACCATGGTCCTCTTTCTAGTCTGAGTTATTTTGGGAAGCAGCATGTGAACACATAGGAACTGCTAGGTTCTGCTTTTGTGATAAGAGCATCTCCCTTGTTCTTAATCCTTTCTCCTACAGCTATCAGTTGGAGTGCAGTCCCTGAGGACCCTCTGGATGTCACCTCAAATGGCTTCCGCCAGGGAACAACAAAGAAGGGGATTGGGAGCCATCAGAGCAGGTGTGAGAACGTTGTAATACCCAGACACACGTTTTATTTGTTAGCATACATGTCTCTGTCAGCTCATGTGATGTGTGGAGTGTTGTCAGAGTAGAGGGAAGTCTGGGGAATGGGAAAAAGGAGGGAAGGTAGGGAGCAGGGAAAACGGGAGAGTCACTGTGTAAGGGAGAGAGGGGAGTTGCAATAAAAAAGTTAAATGAGAGTTAACAAGTTTATCCTGGTTCTTTGTCATTGCTGAGAGCATTGTAGATAATGGCAGTTGACTATGATAAATTTTTATGAAAAGGATATTTACTGGTGAAGTTAGAATTTTTGCTTTATGGTTTTTTTGGGGTTGATGACTAGGAAGGAAATGTGTATGTTGCAGGTTCACTTTTTACAGATTTCTTTTTCTGTAAGAGCCAAGCCAGCTGAACTGGGTGTATGATTGTTAGAAGTGTTACTTTGAAATATGACTTTCTACCTTAAAGTTTGAAAATGTATTGAAATGCTTGCAGCACATTCCTAACATGAAACATGTAACCTTTCCAACTGTGGTCTTGGCACTGTGCTCTTTAAAACATCTCCTAATCTTCTATCAACAGGTGATGCTTAAAAAAACAGTTACGTATTTTTCTTGTGGTTGAGAACAATTACTTGTAACATCTGAAGACAAATTTCTCCATCTCTGTGTTATCTTCAGTTTAGGTGAGGTGACCAAAATTATCAGTGAGCTGTGGAAATTCAGCTTGAGAGTTAGGGTTCGTGTATTAGTTGTTGGCTGCTTCTACTACCAGTTTATCAATGGTCATATTGTTCATTTTTTCCAGACTTTCTGGGAGAATGACAATAATCCTGAGTAGTGAATAACATAATAAGGGGAGCCTAGACAATTCTTGTGGAGAATTTCTTCACATGCCTGGAAGTTGCACATTCTGAGCTTCTTGAGGTTAGGCCTGACTTGACTAAAGTTCATACTGGTATATCCTAGTATTTTCAAATTTTCCGTGTAAAGAAGAGGAATTTTGTGCTTTGTGACCAGTCTTGGTGTTCGGGGTGTTGCTGACATGGGTGACCTGGGTGACTTGGTGTGTGTTTTGAGACAGCCTTTGTATGCACTGTAGAATAGTAGTTTTCAACATGTGGTGTGTAATGTATTCCAGAAGACGTGTGAAAGATCAAACAAACCAACCAACCCCTTTTTCTCAGGAGGCTTAAATTTGTTACATAGCATTTGTGTATCAGCTCTAAAACTTGAGAGCCATCTGCTAGCTGCCAGTTAGCACAGAAGTGTTAGAACTTAATTAGTGTTGAGAGATCCTCCTCTCAATATGTGCTCGAAATTCACTAAAACATTCAGAAGTTATTAGAGTCTACAAGACTGTGATTACAAACATCTTGTTTCCTTAGGAAATCAGGATTAAAAAAAAAGTCAAGGAACAAGTAAACTATTTACACTTTGATGATAAACAGTCACAAAAGGAACTTTTATAATGAAAATAAGAAATTTACAGCCTTGTAGGGGGTGGTGGTGGTTAATAATAAACATGATAAGTATTTCTATGTTCTTTTTTCTCTCAAGGAATCTCACAGTGATTGCCAGAGAGTGAGGTTTTTTCCCCTTCAATATGCTAGATAACACTAAATATCAAGGAAGGTAAAGCTGACTGACCAAAAGGAATTTGTAGGTAAATGTCTGGTATGTGCTTTTGTTAATGCTTAATTAACTACATCACCAAAGACTACAATATGAACCTTTGACAGATTAAGTTGAAGATTAAATTGTAGAGTGTCTTTGCATGTCCTGGTCACCAGTGGGGTTCAACAGGGCTTCATTTTAGGGTCAGTGCTTTTCAGCATCTTCATAAACGACTTGGACACAGGACTTGAAGGTACACTGAGTTTGCCAATGATACTAAACTGGGAGGAGCTGTCGAGTCCCTGGAAGGACGAGAGGCCCTGCAGAGACCTCAACAAATTAGAGGGCTGGGCAATCACCAACCATTATGAAGTTTGAAAAAGAAAACTCCTGGTTTCTGCACCTGGGATGGGGCAACCCTGGATGTACATACAGACTGGGGAATGAGAGGCTGGAGAGCAGTGCTCTGTAGAAAGGGACCTGGGGGTCCTGGTCAATGGCAAGCTGGATATGAGTCAGCAGTGCCCTGGCAGCCAGGAGGGCCATCCATGTCCTGGGGGGCATCACGCAAAGCATCGCTGGCCAGGTGAGGGGGGATTGTCCTGCTCTGCTCTGCTCTGCACTGGGGTGGCCTCACCTTGAGTATTGTGGCAGTTTTGAGCACCAGAAAATAAGAAGAATATAAAGCTAATAATGTCCAGAGAAGGGGCCATCAAGATAATGAAGGGTCTGGAGGAGAAGCCTTATGAGGAGCAGCTGAGATGACTTAATTTGTTCAGCCTGGAGAAGAGGAGACTGAGGGGAGAACTCATCGCAGTTACAACTTCCTCAGGAGGAGACGTGGAGGAGCAGACACTGATCTCTGCTCTTCACGGGGAGGTAAACTTCTGATTTATTTTTTCTATCAGGATTTCTAATTATTTTTTTCTTTTTATATGTATCAGATCCAAGATCTGTAAAGTGGAACTCTTCCATAAATTCCAAAAGCTGGTGACAAGTATTTCACAAGAGGATCTACCAGACACTCTCCGGTAAAGACATTATTATTGCATTTAGAAGAGTGAGCTTATCTTAATGAAACCAAAGAACACTGTGATGATACTAGAATCTGCTCATGAATCTTCCTTCAGATAAGTTTATTGTTGAAATTTGATACTTGAAAAATGTGAAAAGAGACACAAGATGAGGCAGTAGTATCTTTTTTTTGAAAACATGGCTATTAGATCAGCTGCCTGCCCTTGGTGGTGTTCAAACCCCGCATCCGAAAATTGTGGGGTTCTTGATATCTAGTTGGTGTTTAGTAATTCTATCAAATGCCATTTCTTTGTTTCACAAGAAGGAAGAGTTTCAGTAAAACCATTTTTTTTTAAGTCTAGGCTAAAATCTTTTCTTGGTGTATGGTGGAATAAGAGCTAATAAGGTGAGATAGTGTGTAGGGCTCTTTGTGCAATGCATGTGTTACATAGGTGGAGACTTTCTGGAAGGAACAGAAGGAAGCTTTTGTGCAAAGAGGCCATACTTGGAATTTTCCTTTACATTATTAGAAACAAGTTTGGTTTATCAAACTGGAGTCAATTACTTGCAGTAATCATCCAGTCTGCCTTAGCATTATGTGCATTATGTATTTGTTGGCATTCCAGCCCAAACAGCTGCCATAAAGTAAGGCATATTTTCACGTACACAGAAACTTCTCTCTTTGGCTTAGAGATTCTGAGAGAGGTAGAAGGTTCCAAATTCATTGCCATGGAAGGTTTATTTTATTTAGACTTATTTCCAGGTATGATTTCACCAGCTCTAGGGTGCAGGTACACCAACTCTTGAGCTAATTTAACTGCTTGTAGCTGCTGATAGGGATGGTCCCACAGCAGTCTCTGCTGCTACTGGCTGTTTTTCCTGCTTTCTCCCTTGTATCAACAGCACTTCTCCAATCCCATAGTGAGTCAGTTCAACTAGCTAATGTGGATGAAAACAATTTTCTTGGTTTCTGTGTTTTCTCTTGGACTTATGAGCTGAATTGGCTCATGGAAAGTTAAAAGAGGAAGTAGGAGGTGTGTGGCTGTAAGCAGGGGAGACAGGCCCTTTCAGCCTTTCATGGTACCAACACAGTAGATGCAGTGAAATTAGCCAAAGTGCACCCCAGATCATTAATTGATAGATCTTGCTTGCTTTTGAATTTTGTTAAATTAAAAATCCTGTAGAAGTGTCTCATAACTATTTCAAAGTTCTGATGTCAGCATGAGATGCTTTCAACTTGTTCTAAAGTAGAGCTACACTTTCTTCTTAAATCAGTTTTAAATATAAAATTATTATTATTATAATAAAATATAATATTATTATAAAATATACTATTACTAGCTTCTTTTGGGTAGGAGTTTGTCCTCACTTGTTTAGCCATCATAATTTCCTCAGAACAGGTTGTGAACTGGTGCGTTGTTGGGTAGGTGACTCATTGTTCTGATCATGTGCTGCTTACATAAAGTCACTTCACCTCAGGGCTTTTCTAGACTCAAGTGGCTTTGCCATTTCCTTTGACTTTTTTGTCCTCTGCTGTTTTTCTGTCTGGACTACTCCTAACAAAGTCCAGCTGATTCACAGATGTGACGCCGTTTTTAGGCTGCACAAACTCTACATATACAGTAGAGGTGCCAGCTCACCAGTCAGCTTGTGCAGCTGATTCATTTTTTAACTGGTTCTGTTCCACTGGGGAAGACTCATTCTGTAATAATTTCAAATTTGCTGAATAGCTTGTTTTGTAGTTGCAGGGTGTATTAGGACAAGGATCATTCTTCACTTAACCCTTCCTTCCAACTTAACTGTTGTCCACTGTTAGGCCTAGGAACCAGGGAAGTTAAAGTTTTATACTGATTCTGATGTTTTGTTTTCTTCTTTTGTGTATCTAAAGCTGCTTCTCCTGCTTCTTTTGTCTTCCTTTCTTCTTCATTCTTTGCTTCTGTCCAGAGGATCAGTGTGGGCACTGTTAAATTGGAACAGATTGAGAGCCTACTGTGGCCAGAACTTTGCTGGCTCTCCTAGAAGGCAAGCTTAGCTAAGATGTTCAGCATCATTCAGCCATTGGTTTTTTTTAGGATTTAAGTTATTTGCTTTCAGCTGAGACTAAGAAGGAGGTGGTGTTTGGCTGGCATGCACTACTTCTTCACCAAGAACCAGATAATGCTGTATTAGGTTGTCCCATTCTTCCTTCCTTTCTGGTAATTTCTATGATCTGCCTTCTGTGCCTTACTTCAATTCTCAATCATCTCTCTATCTAGACTAACTAAAATGTTGTTTCTTTATTACCTCTTACCTCCACCTGCCAAGCTTCATTCTTTTCAGTTGACTCCCTCTCATGTTAGAGTTTTGAAATAACTGGTGCATAAATCCATCTTTTTTTTTTTTTTCCCTTTTCATGTTTTCTGTTTTCAGTGTTCAGGGAATGATGACACATAGGTGGACAGTGTTGTGTCATTGCTAATCTGAAATGTTATGTGAAATCCTCTGCGGTATTGTTTGCAGTTTGCTCAGTAGTAACAGGGCAAAGGAGTTTTTTTGCATAATTAGGTTTTTTCCCCCCTCTTAGAAAAAACATGCCCTATTCATCATCTGAGGAAGTGAAAGCCTTCTGTTGTTGTACAGTGACACCCACCATACAGAGTCACCAGGCATTGCTATTTGAACAAGGTGTGTCTGGCTGTGTGACCCTTTGAATCTAAAGGAGACTTTGTAAAATAAACCTACCCTTTCTTGCTGGGCTTGTTAAATGGATGACTAATCCTCTTTTCTCTTAAATTGTAGTCAGGAGCCATCACAATTAAGATTTTACTATTATTCCTCCTTCCTGTTCAGTCTGCAGTATGGATGATTCCAGTTCCAGTGGCACATAATTGATGAGGGGGTGGGCTGTTGTACAGAGGAGTGCAAGGACTTTGAGATGGCTCCGTAGGCTGAAGTATAAAATGTTCACTTGGGCTTCATGTTTAAGAGTTTTTGCCTGAAACAAAAGGTGACTACTAAGTATTTGCTGCTGGAGTGACTGAGGGTGATTGTAAGGAAGTGTTGGCCTAATGAAAGTGACTGTCACTGGGGGCACTGATGGTGCAGTTTCACTGCTGTTCTCCAGTTAAAAACAATCACAATACAACACAAACACATGTGGAATTTTGTTGCAATTTTCTAGTCCCTTTTCAGTTTTCTTTTAAAGTTTGTACATTAAATAATTCCTGCAGTGGTCCTACCACTGCATAGAGGCCTTTGGGACAGTTAGGCCCTCTGATCTAAGAAAGTCTTTTATATATTTTACATTACAGATGTTTGTTAGGTCTTTGCCAGATTGAAGAGGCTGTTATTAAGTGGCATTTTCTGCCCGTGATTAGCCATCATAATTATCTCACAATTTGATTTTTTTTTTTCTATTACACTGTGTGATTCAGTTTTCCACGTCTCAGGTGACACTGGAAAGCTCATTTTCCAATTTTTCAGTAACGTTTTGAAATCTGGTCTCCCGAGATAGAACCCAGCAGTGCAGTAATAATCTTCCAGATGCTACAGAACCCCGTGTTATTGTTCACACTTGCTCTGTTTGAGTGGAACTCACTTATTGAGGTGGCTCACTCTGGGACTTTGATCTGTATCTTCTTCACAGCTCGTGTCAGTTACAAAGTTTGCCTGCAATGACTGCCTTTTATCTGCAGCATTGAAGAAGATACTAATATAAGCAGCTAAAGTCTGGTTTCCTTGGCCCCTTATATTATGGATTCACAACAGATTTTTATATACTGAAGATCTGTGAGCTTTTGTCCTCTTAGACGTGATTCATTAATTTTTGTATGAGTAATATTTTGGTCCATTCCTTGTGCTTATGTGCGTATATTTCACGTGCAATGTGTCTGCAATCTTGAAAGTACGTTATGGGTTAAACATAAAAGTTTGAAACTGAGTATGGGGTTAAAGGTAGGATTTGTTACCTGAGAAGGAAGCATTGCTGCAGTGTATTGCTTTTCTTTGCAGGCTGCGTGTTTTATGAGCCCATTCCTGCTCAGCCTTGCATGTAGCTGAGCGTGTGAATGTTTTCAAGCGTAACGGTGATTTGCGTAAGGCTTTTTTGTGTTACCTTACAGAGTGAAGTCTGTGGACCATTTCTCATGTCTGTGGCACACAGCCATCAGAATCCCTGTCTCTCCCTTGCACAGCAGTGTAGGGGCAAGATTGAAATAGTAAAGGGAAATATGCAAGAAATGTATGTCAGACAGAGTTGGATAGGGTAGAGATGCTGTGACTGTGTTGAACTTTGCCTGGGGCAGCAAACTGGTGTTTGCTTCTGCCAAAAAAAGGTCACAGGTTCTTCATTATTAAAGCTCAGAGCCTTAACTACATCTGAGGTACAGTCAAGTCACATAAGGTTTTTATGCATATACAATGTACTTAGAATTTGAAAGCACTTTTCCTGTATCTATGTTGAATATTTCTTAGAAGCTTAATGCAGAAATTGAGCATGAGTTAACTAAATCTATTGATTTTGTCTGCTCTTTGAGGAAGCTGTTTAAAATACTTTTTAAATTTCTGTTGCATGCACTTTTAAATCACTGTACTGTTGCTGTCTGCTTGGAGATTGAGACCCCATGAGGCTGTGGTCACATGTGCTCTAGTAGTTGCTACAGTGTGGTGAAAATCTTGCTCCTGTCTACCCTGCTTTTGATCTAGCTATCTTTTTACTATCTGCTGTAAGAGTTTCCAAACAAAGGTCTGTTGGAATAATGTAGGTTAGAAAAATCCCATATGTGTTTTGGTTAAATTGGGTCAGACTGATAGATATGAGTCAGAGCTGCTGATTTGACAGCAGATTCAGGAAAAAAGAGCACCATTTAGCAAGGAAGAAATGAAAAATAGATGAAATGGAGGTGAAGGTGCAGGTGGTTTGTACTCTGTTTGAGGCACATGTTACAGTACTTGGAAGAGAAACAGCTTGCCTATGCCAGGGTTTTGGAACCAGTTCTGGAGGGTTGACTTTGATCCCTCTTGGACTGGGTTGTTTCCTGAATGCTGCTTATGCAGATAGTTGCTGGCCTTTTGCCTGTTCAGTGATGCTCCTAAACCATGATCCACTACAGATTATGGGGTTCTGTGACTGTTCCACTGCCCAGGTGGGGGAGAGTTGCAGGGGGCCCTTCCATGGAACTTTGCAGAGGAGCTCAGAGTTAGTTTCACAGACTATGATTAATGTGGAAGAGGTAGAGAAAGCAGAATGAATTAGCTGTGATGAGAGTGCAGGGCAGGTTTTTTAAGGGGAAGACATCTCCCATGTTCAGCAGAGGCATAGACAGGCTCACCACTCTCACACATTCAGAACATAAAGTCTGCAGGATAGATAATATGGCTTGCTATGCATGTCACAGTGTTCTAGAAATAAATTTATAGCAGAATGCTCAATGCCTGAAACACAGCTTCTGATGGTCTGCAGTTATGGAGGGGTTGTTTTTGGGGGTGAAGGGTGATCATTATTGCCTTGGAGCATTAAAGCCTGTTCTAGAAGTTAGTGCAGTGGTTCTCAGACTTTTTAGATTAGGGTTCCTGTAGTAGTTTGGCCCTTCCTGTTTCTTGGTGAAGGTCACGTTGCCTGTCATCTTTCCTTCGTATTGGGTTTAACGTGTAAAAACATTGCACAGCACATGTGGCTGACAGACTTTTTGGCAAAGGGAGATGAAAGAAGCTGAGAAAGGAATGCAAGGAAAGGAAAAACATCTTGATGAAATTGTCTTAGAGACACTTGTTGTCAGATACTCTAGACCTGAATTTCCCTGTTTTGAAAATCAATGGCTTAATGTACTCAGCAGAGTTCTGAGAACCAATAGTTCTGCTGAGACGGTGGGGAGTAGGTGCTGCTTGAGGAAGGGGAACAGAGCACCAAAACCACTGAGTCTCTTTAGCTTTAGGGAAAGAAAAAAATTATTTTCTCCTTTGTTTCACTCTTTCCCATTAATTTTGTGTTGGAAAAGAACTGACCTGTTTGTTCTGTCCCTTTCCCTTCCAGCCAGCAAGCATATTTCTATTCTAGCAAGCTAAGGCTGCTTCTACCCAACTCAAAGCACCTCTAGCCACCTTTTCAGCTTTGCTTCAGCATTCTTTGCTATCATGGAAATTTTCTGTAGCCTGTGGTCACACAATTAAACACTTCTATTGCTGGAGAGTGTGTATGAAGCATGGTAGAAGAGTTGTTTTGCTTCCTTTTGTAAGACTGCTGACAATGTCTGGCTTTAGGGCCTGGACCTCTCCAAGTCTCCCTAGAAGAGGATTTCACCTCTTAGCATGAAAGAGCTCACAGGGCATCATCATGTTCTGAGACGTTTGATTGTTTTTTTCATTCTGTGACATCACATTCAATAGGATCACAGAATTGTTTTCATTTTTGTGCATTTTCTGTCAGGATGAAGACTCTAAAAACCTACTGGGACTACAAGGAAGCTGCATTAAATTATCAAGAAGCCTGGAAAGTGCTGCGTAGCCAAGCCCTGCTGGGTTGGGTCAAGAATGCCAAGGAATACTTGCACTTCACATGAGAATCCATGTGGCTATGTAAATCCAGCAATAAGCTCTGGTCCACAGCAGATACCTCTGCAGTTCAAGGTCCAGGAAAAGATGTCCTCAGTTCATGTGCTGTAAAGAGACAGGAGTGAAAAGGAAAGAAATCTAGAGAAGCCTTTATTTTAGTTGTGTTGAAGCGCCCTTTTTATTAAAATGCAGAAAAGGATCATTGCTGACTTAAAGTTCTAAGCTGCATGAAACAATATGCCTCCAAAAGAAAGGAAGCAGGGATATGCTGCCCTCTGTTATATGAGGATATGATCAGTCTGCCATAATTGTTGCAGTGAATGTAATGTCACCTGAAAGTGAAGCAGTGCTATGGAAGAAAGCCTGTCATTGTAAAATTTTAGTGCTGCTTTTTTCTTCCACTCCTCATAATGTTATGGTTGTTTTTCTGTTGCTGGGACAACGCTAATGTATAGTAAGTAATATTTTTATAACTCTTGGCTCTCCCTGTCTGGTGCCTGGAAGAATTTTCCATGTCCCCCAGCCCCATTGCTTCTAACTGGAAATACTTGTTCTGTTAAAATGTCATTTTTTCTGGTAATCCGTCATATATAGTGCTGTTTACTAAATATAGCCACAGCTATAGCCACAGCAGAAGTAAAAGAGCAGTGGGGAGGAGTCTGTGTCAAATAGTACCACTTGTGATATCCTGTGCATCTCTCTTAATTTCAGGACTTGGACAGATAACCCTCCAACTGCTTTGCTTCTGTAGGAAGGAAAGAAATCTCCTGAATTATGTGGTTCAACATTTACCTGCTTTTCAGTGTTTCAAGCACTGTGCATCCCCTTTATCCCCCCGTGGGAGATGGTTAATTAAAAGCAGAAATGCCTTAGCCATTTATGTCACTGTTCCCTGGCAAGTGTTCATTAATAGCCTGGCAAAGGTGGAGATGCTTTGGGGGGAGTGAAAGTAGTCTCTGGCATGTGTCTTGCAGTCTCTTGTCATCATGCTTTATTACCAGCTAACATCTACATGGCAAAACCATCAACACTGCAAGCAGTTGTGGGGGAAGCAGAGGATAATCCTCCCTAAACTTTCTGTCCCAGTTATTGCCTTCTGAGCAAGTTCAGGACTGTGTAACTGCTACTGAGCACACTCCCCTTTTGTATTTTTTCTCTCGTGAACCAGAAATCATGAAAGATTTGAACAAGGCAATGGCAGGATGAAAGAAGTGGATAATTTAGAACTCAGGAATTCTTCAGTGATTTGAATTTTCTGCTCTTCGGTGTATTACAGTTTTGGATTTGAAAAATGGGCACAGCAGTTCTCCAGACAGCCTCTGCTGTCAACCTACTGAGCTAGGTATGGGACCAAACAGTATACATCACATTACATTCTGAGAATTGATTACAGTAAATCCTTTTACTTAGCACTTACATTGACGTGTCAGATAAGTATAGTTCTGTCTCACTTGTTGAAGAAATAGCAAATAACTTGAATTCTGTGTGTATAAGCCTGTCCTCTCAAATGCAGCACTAACATGCAGAAAGACCAGTTGTACTGGTGAGGGGGGAGTCATTGTGTGTGTTTGTAGAGGGCAGGGGATTATGGAGATGGGTGACTTGCATAAGTCTCAGAGGATAAAAAATGGCCAGATGCCATTGCACATGGGCTACAGGGTGAACTGCTGAAGATAAATGGTAGCAGTTACTGTAGATGAGCAAATAGCATTTCAAAGGCTGAGTACTGTAGTGTACCTAAGGAGCTACCAGTAAATTTCCAGGTTCCTGAAATTTACCTTTGTCCTTTCCTTTTCTTGGAGAAACTATTAACTTACCATACCTCGTCTCCCTTTGTTAATCAGCAATGTCTGTAGTGAACCTGCTGACCAGACTGGAATGTTCCCATTTCCTATTCAGCTGCAATATTAAAATGGGTTGCATAAGGCTCGTTCTGTAGTCCTGGCATCAGACTGGTTTTCAGATGAGCAGTTATATGATTTAAATTCTTATAACTCTTTTCTAAAATTTGAGCTATAGACTGCCATTTTTCTGTTACTTGTCAGGTTTAAAAGCAGTTTTTGAGGTGCTGAATACTGATATTAACCTCACTTTTTGGGTGGGGTCGAGGACGTATTTAAGCTAGAGCATGTCAATGAATATAAAAGAGAGGGAAGGAGCTAAAACAAAACAACATTTAAAAGACTAAGCCTGTGGAGGATCTTATACTCAACTGGGTGGCATTTCTATGATGGAAAATAAGTATTTAAATGCTGCATCTGTTTAATTAAAAAATGTCAGGAAATGCTGTAGGCAGTACCGTGAAACTGTCCTCTCCTATCTTTGCATCTTTCCCTTCTGATTTTTAAACCACAGTCTCTGATTTTGTAAGAGGTAATGAACTACACTTTGATCATTGTCAGCAGATCTTTGGAAGAATTGCTCCTGGAAAGTACCAGTTGATGTGTTCCAAGCTTGTATCACTCCTCTGTGCTGGGATAGCTGAGAGGCTGAGAAGCAGGGACAGGCAAGGCACAGGGAGGACAGCAGAGTGCAGACCCTGCCACAGGGGAGCAGAGCTGGGGGAGGGAAGCAGCAGGAATGAAGTGCCCACAGTTCATGGTTAATGAAGGTAACCAAACAGCTGGTAGTGGGAGCAGCAGAGCATGGGAGGGTGCCAAGACTCCCATGGGATGTGTAAAATGCTGTGCAGAGCATATTTGTACTACCCAGATAGGTCCTTGACTTTCCCAAACTAGCATGGGGACCAATGGTCCCTGATTGCCAAAGAAACTGCAATCATTGAGTGGGATGTTCTTTAACAGCTTCACTATTGCAGACATCATTCTGTTCTCAGAAGGCAGGGCAGACTCCCTGCTCATCCTTAAGGAAGTCAACACCAGAGCATAGAAACAAGTGGTTTTGTCCCAGGGTAGCAGTAACCAGTCTGTTTGACCTGGAGGCTGCAGTTCCATGAGACAAGGTGCTATCATCCCACTAACTTTGAAAAAGCAAGATTTTTGATCTTCACAGCATGCTTCCACTGCTCATCTTACACAGGCTGGAAGGCTTACTGATCTCAGTACATTCAGAGTAAATTGAAGACTATTTAAATTACTGTATTTGTAGAAAAACCAGGAGTCTGAAGCAAGGTGTAGCCTTTCACTAGGAGTTAAATGAGCTTTGCAATAAATCCAGTAAGCCCTAGAGGAAAGGAAGAGCTCAGGCTGTGCTGCTGAGGGCAGGAGAATTCTGTTGGTAAGGAGGAAAGAAAAGTGTTCTTTCTCTCATAGTATCTGATAATGCCATAAGTGGGTTGCAGCAATGATTTACAGGTAGAAGCAAGATAATTTTTGAGAAAAGACCATCTAATTGGTCAGAATACTAAATATTTACTGAATACTAAATTAGTCCAGTACTAGTCTAGTTATATTGGAGGTGACATTTCAATTTAGCTTAAAGATAGGTGATACAGAAGTGCTGCTGTGTAGTAGTAACGAGGTATTTCTTCATTTTCTATTCAGTGTATCAACTGAAATGCCTTCCCAGTCCTAAAGGGTTAACAGCAAGTGAAGATCATATGGGACCCAAATGCTTTTAATAATTTTACAGGAGTGACTGTACTTTCTAAAGGGATGTGTTTCATCTATGCATTTCAAAAGGAAATCTCTTGATGTTTTATTGCCATTTTAAGTGCATCTGCAGAGGAAAAGTAGAGTTACTACTGTAGAACATTAATCCTTGCATTCTTTAGAAATACTTGCATATCTGGGCTCCTAAATCTAAACAAATACAGAGATATTAAAGAGAACAGTTACATGGTGCTCTAAGAGGATTATGAAGGGTAATCCAAAAGTCACCTCGATCGTAACATCTTCCCTTGCTTTTAGATGTACCTATTTGCTAGCATGTAATTACCTTTATCTAGCAGTTTTAAGTGATGTGTTAACAGATAAGAAAAAAGACTACTTGATAAGTATAGAAAAACTGTGATGTTTCAGCTTAAAGGAAACAACACTTTCCAGTAATAAAAGGTAATAAAAAATAAAAAAGACAGATGAAATCACTTTTCTTCATTCTGAATCAAAAATTCTGTTAAGAGTAAACATTAATGCCTGGAAGGGGGCTGAGAAGGAATTCAGGATGGAAGCAGTGACGGAATGTTTACTAAAGCAGTGCTATACAGTGCAGTGCTATTGTGAATAATGAAAGGCTTACTGAGACCAACAGAGCATTTTCTGATGCAGTCAGCACATGGAGCACAGTTACTGTGACAAGCCTCAATAGTAGAGTAGTGTGAACGTTTCAGAGGCTCCTACCTTCACATTTTGCAGTATTTCTGCCAATACTTGTGAATGACTGCAGAGCCAAACATAATTCTAGGCATGATGTGTCTTCATGGAACTTCAGGTTAGTATGAATTTAATTTTGGAAAGGGATAAAATTCCCGCTGTAACTGGAAACATTTTAAAAATTAAATTTTTATGCACCACGTAGTGTGAAAATGAAGTAAAACTTCTATTAGGAATGTAAACTGTATTTGGTGTTTCCTTGCTGGCTTAGGAAGGTCAGAGTGATGCTACTTTTCCAAGCCAGTGGTATCCTTTAATAGAAAGGCATGAACTTCAGTACTGTGCAACTGGGTCAATGAGGTGGTTTTTCCACCCTCCTCTCCTGGGTGATCCACAGGTTTGCTTCTTTGCCTGTAAGTAGAAGTAGCTGTGTAACTTTGCTAAGCCCATTTGAAGAGAAGATTTGGGTTTCTGACTAAGGCTCTTCACTTTTGCTGCACTGTGTTCGTGCTTTGGCAACAGGGCTCAATAAACTGGAGGAACTGATCTGAATTCTTTATTGTGCATGCAGCATTCTAATTCTGTCTGTCTCATCAAAGCAGAATCATAGAGTGGTTTGGATAGTTAGGACCTCCAAAGGTCCAACCCTCCTGCAGTAAGCAGGGACACCTTCCACTAGAACAGGGTGCTCAGAGCCTTGTTCAGTCTGACCTTCAATGTTTCCAGGAAGGGCGCATTTAGAACCTCCCTGGGCACCCTGTTCAGTTTTTTAATCATCCTCATAAAAAAAAAAAAATTTCTTCCTTAAATCTAGTCAGAGCCTACCCTCATAGTTTAAAACCATTAAAATGTCTGCCCCATCTTTCTTACAGGCCCTCTTTTAAGTACTGAAAAGCTGCAATAAGGTCTCTCTGGAGCCTTCTCTGGGCATCTTCAGCTCTCTCAGCCTGTCTTCATAGGAGAGTTGTTCCAGCCCTCGGTAATTTTTGTGACCTCCTCTGGACCTGCTCCAACAGGACTGTGTCTTTCCTGTGCTGAGGAGCCTGAGCTGTGCTTCAGTCTCACCAGAGCAGAGGAGAGGGACAGAATCCCCTCCCTTACCCTGCTGGCCATGCTTTTTTCGATGCAGCCCAGGACGCGGTTGGTTTTTCTGACCTGTGAGTGCAGATTGCCAGCTCATGTCCAGTTTCTCATCCTCCAGTATCCTGAAGTCCTTCTCAGGGTTGCTCTCATTCCGTTCGGTCCCAGCCTCTACTGATCCTGGGGGTTGGCCTGGCCCAGCTGCAGCACCTTGCACTTGTTGAACTTCATGAGGTTCACATGGGTGCACTTCTTGAGCTTCTCCAGTCCCTCTGAATGGTGTCCCCTCCCTGAGGTGTGTCCCCAGACCAGTCAGCTGTACAGGGAAGCTGTTCTTTCCCATACTGGGTTCTGTAACGTCCTTACAATATCTACAGAGTTGTGATTGGAAAGGATGTGTATAACTGCCTGTAATGCAACTACTTTTTAGGGTGAGGGGGTGTTTTAGGTTTTGGTTTTTTTTTTTTTTTTTTTTAAGAGCTGCTCATGCAGCTGTTTTAATCTGAACACCTTTGCAATTATTTCTTGCTCTGCAATAACTCATGTAAGAATTATACCTTCCACTTCTTCAGCTCTCTGGGTCTCCTATTTGTATAATTCCTTCTCCTAGGTGCCCTTTCCTTACATGCTGTGCTTCTGACACCTGGGTCCTGTTCTCCAAAGTCCATGGTATTTACTCATCCATTGACAGCCTGTGGGCCAGCACAGCTCTTTTCCTGATGAGATCCAGTAGATCAGAAGCTCTTGGTTTTGGAACCCACAGAGAGCTCCTTGTTTCTTCCTTGCATCATCAGCCATGCTAAAGTTTGAGAAGCTGTACAGTGTCTACTAAGTAATATAAGCAGCTGTATAGCATCTAGTAAATGTGATGTGTAACTTTCTGGCCAAAATTAGGGTAAAGAAATGACAGCACTGCCTGTTTGTGACAGGAATTTTTATTGTACTTGTTTGTTAATTGAGAAAGAGGAACATACTGGCTCAATTCAACACGATCAGCATCTTGCTCCTGCTTAGAAGCTAGCAAATCCAGTGTTCCCAATACTAATTTATTGGTTTTATTTTTCTTAAACTAACACCTCAAAACAGAATAAATGTGTGTTCTTCTCTTCATGTTTTAGTAGCCCAACTACTTTGCTTTATTATTTTATCAATGTCATCAAATGTATCCTCCAAAGAAGTGAGGCTCTGGGAATTCACAGCCATGAGAAAAAACCAAAAATGCACAAAACCAACAAAACTTTTTTTTATAATTTAACAGTCTAATAAAACAAGATCTATCAATATATTAAGAAATAAATCCAGTTACAAATGCATGTATATAGAAGGAACTTCTGTGGACATCCGAACAGAAAATGATCAGCTATTTACAAGATACACAGCAGGATGGTATAGTATCCAAGACCCACCATTCAGAAACCAAATGTGTTCTCTCCACTGTAGGCAACATATAAGAATCCATCCTCATCCTTTTCCTTCTCATAAAGCTGTCCCATAGTTAAGCTTGAAGGGGAAAAAAAGAGAAATGATTTGCTTGGCTCATGACAGTTGCAAATATTAACACTCCTTGCATAAACAAGGAGTAATAAAAGCTAAAACTTATAAATCTGTATATAAATTAAAATGCAACAACGAGGATATATGAAAAGCAGTCGACTCCTGAGTTAGCAAAATGATCCTGGGCTCTCTGCAGAGTAAGTTTTTGATAATTCTTCACAAAAGCATTTGTCACAACGTTTCCATTTAATAGGAAATAAATTACTGACTGTATTACTGTATTTCAGGTTCTGAATCATGCATCAGATGCTGTGACTAATACCAGGACCAATGGCCTGATAGTACCTTGAATGCAGCTGTGTTAATATCCTGTTTCTTGTGTGAGCAACCTCATTCCTCCCTCCACCTGGTATAGTTGTGAATGTTCAGTCAGGCTCTTTTTTGGACCATTTCTTTGAGGTCCAAGTTGTTTTGGGAGGCAAAAGCTTTGTTCTCTATATTGGCATAAAGTGATGACTTCAAATAGTGCTGGTACAAAAATATGTGGGCAATACATTACAATTTAGTTGGAAACTAGTGCTTTTTCTGTGGCTGAGGTTTTGAACGTTTGATCAAATAAAAAATTTCTTAAACTTAATAGGCATGTGGCCCTTCACAGTCTAAGCAGCTGTGGTCTTTAGGGCAATGTCTGTATTTTGAAAACAAAAAGAAACCTAAGCAATTACTTGGCAAGTACAACTGCTCCAACCATTGACCTACAGATGGAACAGGCAGTTGACATCAGTCAGGTGCACAAATGGTTCCTCCTCAGCTCACCTTTCTCCAGCTTTCCAAGACTGGGAAAAGGCTCACAAACGGAAAGATGGAGACTGGATGGGAGTGACAGGGAAAATGACCGTGTCGTTCTACCCAAGAGAGGAGCTGGGAGGATTTGGAAGCAGCGCTTGAAGTGGAAGAAAACTGGTGAGTAGCAGATAGATCACTAACCCTTGACATCCTCCTCTCCTCATCCAGTTTATGTAATAAACTCAGCCTATGAGATGAGCAGAGCCATTAACAGGATATTTTATCTGTTAAGAAGTTATCATTTTTACATTAATACTGAAGGTTCAAGGCCCTGTTTTTCCAGTTAAGATGTGACACCTCATCGTGAACATGTGACATGAGACAGTGTGTCTGTCTGTCCTGTTCCTAGCTGTTCTACAGTCCTGTTATGAAGATGACATAGGCATTCCTATTACTCTTAAAAGAAAACAAGTAGAAAAAGATGGTTCTCATGGTTCTCCCTACTGTGCATCACAGTGTAAATAAAAAATGTTCCTGAGTCTGGACAGGTTACCTGGAGGGACTGTTACTGTTACAACAAGTAAGTAATAATATTACATCTAAGCCACGTAACAGCATGACTGTACTATTTCTTCAAATGTTATTAAAAAATCTCGAATACAAAGCAGTTGTAGTAGCTGCTTCTGCTATATTCTGTATGTAGCAGACAACAGTGAAACTTACTCCTATATAAAAGCAACGTGAAAAACCTTTCTATAGCAATTGTGTGTTGTTTTGTTTATAGATGATAATAAGTAAATTAAAAAAAAAGTAACAGCAAATAGTCTGTAACATCATAATTTCTTTGTAAACTGACAGGTTATTGGGTTTTTTAGAATAATTTATGACATTTGCTATTAAATATTTAATATGCATCTTTTCTGTTACGTTGAGAATAATTATTTTTTTAAGATTAATGATGTATGTGTTCATGCACTCAACCAAGGATATCATAACTGCAAAGCTCACCCTTTTGCCATGGAAGTAAGTTATAATATAGTTTTCAGTCACTTTTCCTTTAAGCCTGGCTCAAAAAATGTTTATCAAACTCATGAGGAAAAAACCCTTTCACAGTGAGATAAAGATGTAACCAAACACCTCCTAAAACCACCGAATGAGCCTCAAAGAATGGTGTTACTGACTCTCTGATATGCACAGGCTTGCTGAAATGGTTCTGAATACCAAGTGAATATCCTCTCACCTGGATTGTGGGACAGTCTTGTCTACAAAGAGGAATATTGCTTTCTCAGATGGCAGTTGAATCCTCTTCCTGATGATCCACATGAACTGGGCCACGGTGATGTCAGATGGAACTAAGTACTTCCTCTTGTCAATATCAACAATCTGAGATCCGGAGACCTTCTCCACTATGACCTGTGAAGTGAAGGTGTGAAGGTCAGGATTGGTATGAACAGACAGCCTGGGTAAATCTCTTGCTGGCAGGGGCTTGCAACAGTGAGCAGAGGGGAGGAACAAAAAGGTTTCTTGACTGCAACCAAATGAGAGGTAGAACTGGCTCAGCACTGTAAAACTTGATTTTACAGCTACACCAAAACCTACATTCATACACACAATGGCTCAAAACTTCCTATATCTGAGGCTGACAATCATGAGGTAAAAAGCTGCATTATGCCCAAAAGAAACCCGTGATAGGGAAGTACACGTCATTTAACTTTGTACAGTGATGATATGATATCACTGCAATGTGGACCCAAAGTTGAAAATAAGCCAGCCATGGGCCCTGGCAGCAAATAAGGCTAATGGTGTCCTGGGCTGCCTTAGGTAAAGTACTGGTACTGGTGAGACCACCTTTGTATTATGCTGAACTGACATTAGAACATCTTTCATCATACCTTAGGAAATCAGAAATAGATTACAGGAAGGAAAGAGCAAGATGGCCACAAGCAAAATGAAACAAAAAGAAACAAAACTAAACAAAACGTACAGGGGAAAGGAGAATTAAGCACTACTTGTGGAAAAGACCTGATGCTTATTGCTCCACACAGGCTAGTTCTTGAAGGAAAAATGCAGCAGGTGGGGAAATCAGTTTTACAGGATGTTCCAGTGTCTCCATTCCTTAGCTCTGTGTTCCCCTTAAAACACTGTTTGAAAAACACTTTTGGCTGTTAAACTGGTACCAACTATTTTATGAAAGGCACGTGGCTCAATCTGAATCATCAAGCAGAAAACATGGACCTGTCCAGACAAAGCACTACACTGCAATTTGAGATTCAATTCCTGTATCTATGTACACCTTGTTGTCCATTCCTGATACAGCAGCATGTAATTCTGTCTCACACCGGGAGTTTCTGTGTCTTTTTTCCCCTATAGTTAAGAAGGATATTCTTGAAGTGGACGAATGGGTGTCTGTGGAGATGTGTGGTCATTAAGGATGCTGCAGTCCATGTATGAGGGGACAGCTGGGCAAGAGAAAATGTCAAGGATCACATCAGCTTGCCAGAGTGCAGCTGGAGAAAATGTTGTGACAACTAGGTGCAACTGAGCAGCAGAGAAAGGCAGTGGGAAGATTCTCCTCTGGGCTGTGCTAATGGAGAAGTTGTTTACCAAAAGGTGAGGCAGGAGTAGCACTAACTGGCACATGGTCAGATGGGATGTGGGACATTTTACACACAAGCAAGTAAGTTGAGAATGTGGACATGTTGCTAGCTGTTACATAAGGATGTGAAGTGTGGTCATTTCACAGACTGAAACATGATTAAAGGGATTGTGGCAGTGAAGAAGAGAGGTCATTCACTATTTAGCAGATTGGTAGGTATTAATGCAGAAAGGAGGGCTCACCACTTGAACTGGCTCTTCAAACAACAGGGTTTGCATGAGGAGATTCACCGTGATGATTGGTTATAGGCATGCAATACATGAGGGAATACCATCCAACTCATATATCCAGGACAGATTGTTAAGGTTTAAAGAACTCATAATCTTTCCTAGGATCAGGCCCAGAATGAATCCTCAAGATAATGAAGATGTTTGCTGGGATATAATTGCCATTAGAAGAAACCAAGACACTAATAAATCATAAAAATACCCAAAAAGTGTTTATAAAGTTAGGCACTCTTGCTTATTTGTCAATAGGCACTGGGGAAGAGAAGGGAACACTGGATTAGTTAGATGTGTTTGGGGCTTCTTTAAAACACCTAAGGATACAAGAAGGAACATGAATTTACTTAGTAGAGACTGATCAAAGAGTGTGAAGAATGGAAACACCTTATCCACCTTTGCCTCTAAGTACTCTGAGGAAGCTGGCTCGGTTACTCACCGGGACACGGTCGGGGTATTTGGCTCGGATTTTTGCCGACTCGACACATCTGTGCTCTGTGAACAAAACTCGCGATTAGTCACTGCATCGTAACAGCACTGCCGGCGTCCTAGGCCGAGAGGGCAGCGCCCGCAGGGCCGAGAGCCTGCGAGGATCGCGGCCACCTCCCCACCCTCCGAGAGATCTCCAGCTGTTCGGCGAGGCCGTCCCCGGGCATGGCATCACACCGCCCTTCGGCGAGGGCCGCAAGCGGCTCCCCGCCCACAGGCGAGAGGCTGGGGGAGCCGACCGGGGCAGATGGCGACACAGCTGACCGAGGGCGGCGGGGCCGCCGCCGGGCAGCGCCCGGCCCGGGCCCACCCTTACCCAGCGCGTGGTCCTCCTTGAACATCCACTTCATGGTGCGGGCGGGCGGGAAGCGGAGCCGGCGGCGAGGCCCGAGTGCGGGGGGCGGGGGCTCGTGCCGGGCCTGTCGCTGTCACGATCCCTGTCACAACAACAACAGCCGAGCCTCGACAGGCGGGACTTCCGGCTCGCCCGTTCCCCGGCAACCGCCCGGCCCGCCGCGCTTCCGCCCGGGGATCGCGGGGCGGGGCTGTGGCTCCAGGAGCGGAGCTACCGGCCGGCGCCCCGCCCGCGGCGCTGCGGGGGCCCTCGGGACCGCGGCACGGGCTGGGCCGGCCCGGCAGTGCCCGGAAATGTCCCCGCGGTTCCCGGCAATGTCCCCGCAGTGCCCGGCACCGCACCCGCCGCCGGCTCTGCCCCGCGTCCCCGGGGGCGGTGCTGCGCGCTCATTGGCTGGCACGCCCGGCCCCTGGGCGCTGATTGGCGCGGCCGCCGTCAGTCCCGCGGCGGGAGCGGGACGCGAGTGCGGTGCTCGCCATGGTCGGCGTGGAGCTGTTCTCGCACCCCGCGCTCTACACGCGCTACCGGGCCGGGCTCTGCTCCGCCGCGGCGCTGGCGCTGTTGCTCATCACCGCGCTCACCTATGTGCCGCCGCTGCTGGTGGCCTACCGGAGCCACGGTGAGCGCCACTCGACCCCGCGCGGCCCGGCCGGACCCGGCTCGGCCCTGAAATCTCGTGCTGTCTCTGCCCTCAGGTTTCTGGCTGAAGCAGAGCACGTACCTTGAGCAGCCCACTGTGCGGTTCCGGTACGAGGTTCTCCTCGTCGCCACCACCGGGCCCGGCCCGGGCAGCTTCTTGGCGTGGAGCACGTTCCCAGCGTTCAACAGGCTGCAGGAGGAGCGGCTCCGAGTCCCGCTCCTGGCGGTAGGACTGCTGCAGAGTGGGGCAGCCGGCTCGGGGCATGAGCGGGCACTGCTGCCTGCGAGGAGCAGCAGCTTCACGCATAACCTCGTGCCTCACATCAGAATTCAGTTGGGACAAGTGATTTCTAACGAGTCTGGTTTAACTCCCTCTTCAGTGCTTCTGTATCATAGAATTATTTAGGTTGGAAAAGATCCTTAAGATCATCAAGTCCAACTATTGACCAAACTACCAGTTTCACCACTGAACCGTGTCCCTAAGCACCACTGGTGGTTTGCACGAACACATCACTTCCCTCAAATCAGTTGTGCCCTCCTCCCCATGGCTTATCATGATGTGAACTTGCATGGGTTGCTAGGTAGGCTCTTGTTTTGGAAGCAGGTATGAGCTTTCTAAAGCACACAGCCTTTGCCTTGCAGTCATAGTTCCTTCTGGGATTCCACAGTGGCAGTTATTTTTCTGTCTGCCTCTGTTACGAGTCCTGCTATGCCTGCAAATAGCTGAGGTACTGGGTGTTTGTGGCACAGAGGTGTAGCAAGCCTTGGCTCACAGCCAGGAATGGGAGTACAGAGGCCATTAAGAGTCACACTGCAGTGGCAGGAGGCAAAAGCCTGACCACCAGTCGTATTTGCACAGGGTGTGACAGAAGATCCAGCACTAAGGCGTGCTTTGTAGGATGTGGGGGAGATGGTCAGAATGGTGTAGGGCAGAAAAGACTTTGAAGGGTCTAGTGAGCTTTCCCTTCCTGGGGTGGCATATGAGATGTTGTATAACAGACAATGTTGCAGGCTTCTTCTTTGTCTCCAGTTCTTGGTTTATCAAGTCAAGCAACTTTTTCTTTCTTTCCTAATGCTGCAGCTTATTTGCTTCCTTTGATTGTGCATGCTGCAGTTGTGGAGGTCCCCTGGGGTTTTATCTTTTCTGGTTTTCTTTCTAACAGAAATTCCCTTATTTTTAAAAAATCATATTCTTTTAGACTAGAGAAGAAGACAAAAATCAAGATGGCAAAATGGATCAGTTGCATTTTGAATTGGAACTTCCGCTCCAACCTACAGAGCATGTACTTGGCATTCAGCTGATTCTACTCTTTTCCTACCAGCTTTATGTGAGCATTTTTAATAATGTTTGTTGTGATGTACAGACCCTGTGTAATATTCCAATAGTGGTTATGCAAACAATGAAAAGAAACTTTTCACATTTGAAATTCCTATCTAAAAGTATGTATTTTACTAACAAATATTTAATTTTTTCCTCCTCTACCGAGTCATTCCTAGTCTAGCTCTGTTGCATATTTTGATACGCTTTGTTAGAATTATTTTTTTTTTTAAATTTTTTTTAAGCTCTATATTCTCTTGGGCTGTAGTGCAGCATAGAGGATAGAGATGCACAACACTGAGTATCAGTGTGGGTGGCACCAGGAAATAACTGAGAGTCTTGCAGTAGGGAGAAGGATGTGCACTCTTACTGTTACAGGACACACTGCTGTGTCTTGACAACCAGTTAGTTTTCTGAAGTGGAGAGGCAGGCTATTGAAACAGCCTAAAACTCCATAGATTTTGCTTACTTAACAACTCTTAATATGTTGGTAATGATCTACCAGGATCTTCTGTATCTTGTAACTGTGAGGAGGAAGAAAGTGTTACAGGAAGACAAATATTAGATCAGTGATTAGTATCACAGAGAGTTACAATATTCACAACACTTCTATTCCACTGTAAATGTGAAAATTTTCCTTCATGTTGATAAGAGCTAAGGAACTTTTTTATTTGGTCCTTATTGCAGAGCAGCAGTCCTTGATTTTGATTGCTGAGTTTTTTAAAGTGTGTCTGTAAGGAATGGGTTTAGTCATCTTGCTACTGTTTACCTGTCATTATGTCATTAGCCACAGACTGCTGGATTGAATTTCCTGTGGAACTTTGTATGTAATAACTTAAGTTAGATCACTTTATTAAAAAAAAAAAATATTTTATTTGGCATTCCCTTGTTTAGACTAATGTAATGATCTGAAACTTAGGGGTCAGAAAAATACTGAATAGATACAAAGAGGTAAAAAAGTGTGTGTGTGGGGTGTCCCCCTGCCTAAATTCTCTTTTCTTGTGTTCACCATTTCAGAGAATGTCAACATTTGTGATGCAGAGCATGGCTTTTCTTCAGTTTTTTTCTCCTGTGCCAGGGTCTCGGCTCTATATGAATGGAGACCTGAAATTGAAGCAGAGGCAATTACTGAACCATTGTGGACTGGATACCAGATACAATGTGAGCATATGTTTTTCCCTGCCCTTCTATCCTCCTGGTATCATAGGTGACACCCTGATTATTTGTAGTCCTACACAGAGTGAACTGTGAAACTTTGGAGCTGGTGTTTTGTTAGGCTAAAAGAGGGAAGAGGTTATTCTGCCAAGATGTTCAGTCTGATGTTTATGTGCATTCCCTCAAGGGCATGGTTACTTTGTGTGAGAAACTCTGTAGAATTACTGTCTCGAAGACTGGACAAATAATACAAGTGTCTCCTTGTTGTAACAGGTGTCTGTGGTCAATGGCACAAGTCCTTTTGCAAGTGACTACGATCTAACAAACATCATTGCAGCATACTGGGATAGAAATGGTAAGCCTGAACGTGTAGCTGTGAACTACAGGGCGGTAGTAGTGCACATATTGGCAGATGTTTTGTGAGGTATTTGTGTTCTGTATTAAGACCTAAAAGCCCCTTAACCTGGATATTTCCTTTCCCCATTTTAGTGACAACAGTCTTTTCAGATCCCAGCCCTCTTTGGATGACAGGAAGAGCAGCAGATACACCATTTGTCATTAATGCCACTATTCGTTACCCAGTGGAAGTTATTTTATATCCTTTGAAAACTGCATAAACTGTGACATAACTGGGTTGCATTATTTGGGCCTTCACCTACAGGCCAAGTGAAAACTGTTTTCTCCTAGATTTGTTGCTAAACTTTTTCTTCATTAGCTAAGGAAATGTTGAAGTTCTGGAGTTAGTGAAATACCTGTTTGTCCATTCCTTCAGATGGTTCTTCTTGCCTGACCACCTTCTGCCTTTCTCTACTGGGAACTCGTGTTGCTTTTCAGCTTTACTGAGCAGGCCTTTAAGGCAGTTTCTTAGCCATTTTCAGTGAATATTCTTAATGAATCTTGCTTTGTTCGTTATGTTGTTGCTCATTTTCTCAGACAAGAACAAGCCTGTGTTTAAAAGAGTCTATATGGAGCATAATTCTTACGAGGTTTGTTTACCTGCATGCCTATTACCAATAACAACTTTCTGGTGAGTCAGGCACAAAATAGGTACTTTACCCAGAATTAGTTTAAATGCTTTCTAGGACAGATATTCTCTGCAGCTTTTGTTACCTACTATTGTAAAAGGCTTTTTGGTGTTTCTGTGGTTAAGAGGCTTTCCATTTGCCACAAAAATTGATATCTTAACAGATTTTGTGCCTTTCTGCCTCTGAGTTCCTTTGTTTACTTATTGCAATCAGAAGCTTCTTCATTAACACTCCTTGACTTTCTTTAAATATCAGCCAGGATTTTGGGAAATTATTAAATTTGCCTGGATCCAGTATGTCAGCATCCTCCTTATCTTTCTTTGGGTGTTTGGTAGGATTAAGATGTTTTTGTTCCAGAATCACGTGTTGACTACAATTCCAGTATCATCAGTTCTGCCAACATCTCCAGTACTAAGCTACAAACAGCACCAGTTCTGAGAAGGTGCCTGAGAACACTTTAAAGAAACACAGTTCAAAAATAGTCACCTGCTTTTCTTCTCTATTCACTTTTTACTTTCAAAGATCCGAATTTTGTAAGTATGTTCCAAGTATGCTCTGTTTGTGCTTTCTTTTTAAATATATGTTCATTCATCTAATTTTTTGGGAACACTGCTTTGGAGCTGAAAATTTTAATTTTTTTGACAATTAAAAGTTAAATAACAGCCTGGGGTGTTTTTTTGTTGTTGTTTGTTTTTTTGTTTTGTTTCGTTTTGTTTGGGGTTTTTTGGTTTGGTTTGGTTTGGGGTTTTGGGGGGGGGTTGTTTGGTTTTTTTGGTTTGTTTGGTTGGTTTGTTTGTTTTTTGCAATTGGAACATGCTTTAAAAGCGAGTAGGAAGCAATGAGTCTGCTTTTGCATTATCTTCATTTTGCTATAGCTTGAAGACTGAAAATAATATGCTAAAAGTAACAATATAAACTGTTTTTACTGTCTTGTGAATTAATTCACTGCTGACTTAGACTTCTGTCCAGAGCTATTTGTACATGCATTGATGTGCACTATGAAATGAAACAAAATATGAGGAATGTGAAAAAATGTATGGATGAGTTAAGGTCAGAGACACTCCTGTCACAGTACAGCCACAGTTACGTGGCACAGTTACATGCTCAGCAATTTAGTTATTAAATTGGATGGTGGATAAATTCAAGGCTGATGTGAGAAACTGGGTTGTGGGTGATAGTTGTGTGCAAGGTTTGCATAACCACTTACTATTGGCATTATTACTGTAGCACTAGACCATTAACTGTGAATTGTGAATAGTAAAACAGAGAAGCCTGGTATTTATTGAAAGAAAAGTAACAAAAAATACTACCAGAGAAGCTTTGGAGTTCCAAAGGAAGTGAATAATTACTTTCAGAACTTAAACAGCTTAGAACTGATAACAATTATAATCACCTGGTGAAGATGATATTTACCAAATATAATCACTTTTTCAGATGACTCAGTTCCCTGAGTATGTGTCTGCACAAGCATTAGGATGGGCATAAGCAAGGGGTGGAAATCTCTGGAGAGACCACAGGACCTCATTTTAAGGACTTGAATGTTGTACTCTCGCAAAAATGGAATGTATATAACAGTCTTCCTCCTAGCTGAACAGAAACATGTTTAAGGTAGCAACAGGAACAGGAAAGACACTAGTGCCAGAAAACAACAGTACCGGGAAACTCCATTAGTTCCTATCTCACTGTTCTCTGCTGTTGTAGCCTTTCACATTAAGTAATGACCAGAGATGCTGCTCAGAGCAACAGTTCAGTGAATACATGTGAAATAAGAAATGGAGAAAGGAAACACAGATTAAAATATCCTTATGTTCTCTTTTCCTTTAGAAAGGGAAAGCTGGAAAAAATCCTCTACAGTAATTTAAGCAGATAACTATATAATTTAAAAGGATGAAATCAAAGAGTTATTTGTTTGCCAGTGGCATGTAAGTGTTTAGTATGACCTGAAACAATCCCTCCATTTCTTTTGAAAGAGGTGTGCTTCATGACTGTGGTAAGTGAATGCAGGGTAAATGGAGCCCTAAAGGCAAGTGTGACCAGAGCAAGGGAAAAAAAAACTTGTTTGTGGTACCTCTGCTGTGGTAACTTCCTGGATCACTGTTATAATGAAAATAGTTCTTGGTTCATAGACTCCTTTCTCAAGCTTGAAGAGACATTCTACTTCTGTAAGTAACCAAGCAGTAGAAAAAAGCTAAGATTTTATGGCTGCAGCAATAAACTAAACTACAGGGAAAAAATATACCTGAGAATCCAATGCAAGTACTATTAAGGGAGGTTCGTGTAGGAAGAGCCTTTCTCAGAAGGCTATCTGCAAGGACTCTTCCTTTAGCTTTCTAAGCGACCCGAAATAAAAAGACAACCATCTGAAACCACTGCCATCCACCACAGTGCTACTACACAGGTCTTATGTGTACACATATGCCAGAGAACAACCTAAATGCTCTTCACTGAGGAAGGACACAGTGGCTTGCTGTGATTAATCAAAGTCCTGTAAGTGGTTCTGTAGGAAGAAAAAGTAAGCATCTGGTTAAAGGTCCTATGCATAAACTGAAGTGGGAATGTGTCCGTGTAAGAGCCATGTTTCAGGAGTCTTTTAAGGGGTGGAGCTGGGATAAAAGAAACGACCCCGGTGCTCGTTAACCGGCCGAGCAGCCCGTTTACAGGGGCAGGACCCTCCGGTTCTGCTCGCCTGAGGCGAGCCCTGTGCGCCCGGTGCTGGGGCGGGCTCGGGGGCAGAAGGAAGAGAGGGAGGAAGAGGAGGGGGCTGCGGCGGCAGGCGGGCCCGAGGCACTCGCGGCGCTGCCCCGAGCCGTCCCCGGCGGGTGCCGCGCTCGGACCGGGCTCTCGTGGCTGCGGCGGGGCGGGCGCCGGTGCCGCTCGAGCCGCCGGGCAGCCCGTGCTGGGCGGGGCCGCCTCTGCCAGGCTGCGCCTCTGCCCGGGGATGCTCTCGGAGCGGGGCGGATCGGCTCCCTCCCGGGCTCCTCCCGCTGCCCCGGCGCCTCGGCCACGTCTGAAAGCGGCTCATTGTCTCTGTGGGCAGCTCGGAGCCGCGGCGGTGGCGGCGGGAAGGTACGGGCGGGCTGCTGCGGGTGGGGGTGGCGGCTGTTGGCAGGGGACTCGTCGTCCCAGTCAGACCGTTTTTTCCGGTCTCAACGGTGCTTATAGTCAGTCTCACTACGCTTCAGGGATGCGTTCGAGCCCTTCGCACTCGCGCTAGGTTTCGGGGGATGTATTCGAGCCCTTCGCACTCGCGCTAGGTTTCGGGGGATGTTTTCGAGGCGTCCGCACTCGCCCCTGCCCGTGGCGGTGAAGTAGCGGTAAGCCCAGGTGCGGCGGAGTCGTTCGTTGTCCGCCGTCTCGAGCCGGCCGTTGTTTGAGGTGTAGGCGGTTGTTGACAGAGGTCAAGCGCTGTCGAAAACCAGACCTTTTTTTGGTTAGGTTTTTGTTCTTCTTCTTCCCTCTTCCCTAGAGAACATGGCTGATTCAGGTTGAGGTGGTAGAGTTAGGTGGTGAAATAAGGTGCTTTAGAGGACATTTCCCGTCGTTCCGGGAAATCCTTTCCCATTTTTCTATTGTGTCCAGCCTCTCTTTCCAAATGAAGGTCACACACCGGTCGGAAGAATTTGTCTTTATTTCTTAGTTGCAACAGTTGCTTCAGTGGGGCATACAGGGCACACCTCAGCCCATTTGTCCTCTGACGGTTTGAATTTGAGGACACTATTGCACCTTTGCAGGCAGAGTCTCAAGTAAATGAATAGCATTCAGTCGCTGCAGGCGTCTCTTTGCCACCCCAGTTTTGCCATAGTAAAAATTCCTAACAAAAATTGCAGCTAAGCAGACCTCATTTCTTGAGCACCAGTAATTCTAGTAGCTGAAAACACTTCATGATCTTCAGCTGCACTGCATGGAGAAACAGGCGGTGTAGGGCTATGCCTTGATACTGCCTTTTCTTCAGGCTGGACAACTTTATCTAACTCCAGAAATTATAAATATAACACAAAGGAAACAGTACCTTTTAAAAAACCACACCTCTAATCATAATGTAATTAAATCCATGGTACGTTTAATTGTATCATAAATGATTTAAGCCAGATAATTTCCTAGAAACAGTTGTTCCAATCTCATTTGCCCCTAGATTGTGAAAAGAAGTACATTTCCAAAAGCTAAATTAACAGTATCAGCTGGAGTACCAATATATTGTTATAATTCAGAATTATTACAGTACATTTACTGTACTTTAATTATTTTAGTTGCAGTTTCACTGTTCTATTAAAAAATTAAGCAGGCTTTTGAATTTCAACTATTTACTATTGGCCAGCTCTTAGAAAGACTTTTAACTTTTTGAAGTAGCAATACTTATAGAAGGCACCCTCCAAACGAACTTTTTCTTTCCCCATTCAAAGATCAATCTGCGTATTGTTGGCAATAACAGCCTTAGGAAGGTGTGTGCTTTTTAGCTGCAGAAGAACACTGGAAAGTGATGTTTTGTCAGCTGGGTGATTGCGGCAAGAATTACTGGTACTATTGTTGTGCGTTTTTCTTTGACCAGCTTTGTCACATTCCTGCATTTCACTTTTTAAAGCAGCGAAGTGTGTTCCTAATGTTGAGCCCACAGAAGCAATTCTGATGGTGATGTCATTGGTGTGATGTCTTATAGGTGAAGTATGCAGTGAGTAAACATCTCCATGAGGGATAGTAGACCTTCAGGTGATCTTTGCTCTATTTATCATGCCATGCACAAATATTTTCCTATTATTTCTACAAAATGCATGATGACATTTACCATTATTATTCTTTTCACAGTCAGTACTGCTGCATCTGGTGAATCATAAGTACATAACTACATATATTCATCTCATATATTGCTCTGAAAAGTCAGCATTTAGTGTATGACAAACATACAGGACAATCATTGTTGGCTATCAAAAGGCTGAACATATAATAGAGCACTAGGTATTTGTTTTTCAGTGGAAAAGATCAATCTGGGAAATTATTTGAGAACATTATATGAAGCTGAAGTAATTTCTGTGTAATCTATAAAGACTTTGGCTTTAAAAGTGCTGCATAAACTGTTTTAAAATAATGTGTGCTGGACATTTTCTTAGACTCAAAATGGCCAGGGAAGACTGATAAAGACAGTTAAAATTCAGTTGCTCAGAAGTCATTGTAGGGGAGCAGGTATTTATAATTCTTCACTCAGATATTTTGCTTTATTCCAGCCAGGGTTTTCAGTCTTCCCAAAACAGACTTAGGCCTGTTGGTTCTGAGGGAGTCTTTCATCCCAACCTTTTGTCCCAAACTCAAAGAGAGAGCATATTTTTTTACAGTTCTAATGTGAGACACTCTCTTTCTGTCTTTCTACCATCTTTTTAGTATCCCAGAAAAAAAAAATGAGCAGTGTAAATAGGAAGGGTTTTTGTTTGTTTGGTTGGTTTTGGTTTTTTTAGCTATAAAGCTTATTGTTGACAATTTTCTAGGCCTCTTCTGGTTGAATTCTGTGCTGAAAGGAAGTTACTTAGAAACTGTAATTCTTTCAGAGCTGACCTGCAAAGATCTCATTACTCAGTTCCAACATTACGTGACTTACGCGACAAAGGAATAAAAGTCCCTGAAAGCAAGAGCTAAATAATCATCCTTTACACAATTTCTTTCTCTCTTTTCTGCCATTCTGGGTCTGAAAAGTGCTCTCTTTAGAAAACAAGCCCTGCTACCACTGGCTGTATTTTTACCCTGCTTGGGAAAACTGGATAGCTTTCTGTGTTGTATTTAGTTTCTTGGCAAGCAGTGGCAGATGCAAGCAGCCCTGCAGCTCAGCAGTCTATCAGAGACAGTTGAAGTCATGAAGAAAATGATTGCTCTGTTGGCCAGTTTGTATAATTTCCTTTGGACGTTATGGAAGAATAGTTATTCTGGGACTATCCCAGGGTTCATCTAGTCCAGGATCTCGTTTCCATTAGTAGCTGTTAGCAGGCAGGCCCGGTGACAGAGCTTGACTTGGGACTGTCAGCTAAGCCATATATTCAGATGCTTTTCAGATCACATTTTGAACATTTGCATTGGCCTGCAAAGAGATGATTGTGTTTCAAGAAGTTGTGAGAGTACAACTTCTGATTATTCTGCTCTTTACCAGGGCTCTTCCTGAAGAAACAGTATCACAAACAAAGCATTACTGCATTACATTACACTCACAGAAAAGGAATAACAGTGTAACTTTTATTAAAATAATTTATGCTTAGCAGTATTCAATATTTACAAAAACATGTATCATGATGCCATCGAGTACTGCAATACTTCATGCCTGAGAGGTGTTGGAGTGCTCTGTGCTGCAACTTGCTGTCACAGTCTGTTTTTCTGCCTGCTGCAGCTCCCTTGCCACTTAGGGACAGAATGATTGCAAGTCTATGAGGAGGTGCTTGCTAGAGTTTTGTCACTGAGGTGGCATCTGGATTGGCAGTAAGGACATCTGGCCCCTCTGCTGCCCTTTCCCCCATGCCTGTGGTCAGCAGGCCTGCTCTGGTCAGGCAGGTGCAGCCACGGAAGCACCGCTGTGGAGCAAAGAAGGAAGAAAGGAGGCAGAACGAGCCCCTCTTTGGCTCTCCTGAGAGGAGCCTGGGATGGACAGGTGGTGCCGCTGAGCCATTGGCAGAGGAGGAGGGCACTGGCAGAAGTAGAGGTGAGGCAATGCAGAGCAAGTCACAGACTAGTGTTTCACCTAGTAACCAATGCAGTTTTGGCACACTGCCTTTCTGTGCTGAAAGAGCTGGCCTAACAGCACCCTCTGGTGAGTCCTGAGAGGCTTTTCTTCCATTACTTGCTTCTAATCAATATAATTGTTTGTTGAACTCTTGTATAGTTCTGCTGCCACAGCATTTTAAGGCAGGGTTTCATATTTTTAGGTTCAGCATACAAAGAGGTTTTGTAATGAGAGATCATTAATTCAATTCCCCCAATTTTCCTATTTTGAGCAGTTATGAGTGTTTTTGCAGTTGTTCTCTCCAGGCCAGTTGTGATTTCCCTGTTCTAGGGAACCTCTTTTTTAGACTGAGGAGCAATTGCCACTTCAGTATTCCTTTTACAGAAGTCATTGACTGTCCTTGTGCGTTGATCTTCGTTCCTTACTGTATTCAGCTATATTGTCTTGAAGAATTCTTGTGGGCACATCAGCACTAAGAACTTAATGAATTGTATTATGCCAAACGAGTGTGTATCTGTATTTGCTAGTCTGCATGGTTTCAAGAGTCTAGAGTGTGTTGGTATATGTCTCTCTCACAGTAACAAGACACAAATTGTGTAAATGCAGCTAGATAGCAAATATGGAGATGATCTGCATACACGAAGACTCATACTTTCCTAATACCTTGCCTGCTAACTTATACTGATTGCTTACAAGTGGAATCTGCACAACTGAGGGCACAAAGGAGTAGGTGCCAAAACCCTCTTGTTAAAAGCTGTGAGGAATGCATATGACTTGAACTTTGATTACAAAGTAAAACAATTCCACTTGGGGTTGATATGTCTAAAATTTTCTAGGAGTTATGTGCAGACATTTCTAATTGCCAAATAGGTAATTCCCTTAAATGCAAACTCAGGGTATTCAGTCTTGGGGTATATGTGTTCCAAACCAAAGACACATGTCAGCTGCTTTTTCATTTTATCATCTGTGGCCACATGTGGCTTCAGGTTATGAGTTTTCACCCATTTTCTGCAGTTTGAAAAATAGAGGGTTGTGCACAAGCATCCATTGGTATAGCATCCTACTGCCACTGCAGAGTACAGCACTCACATTAGAAAAGAAGATGTTTTTTGTTTCAGCAGCCAGTTACTGATGTTCCCATCTACTCCTTTTAGGGAATAGAAGTCCTTGTAGTGTCAAACTGAAGCAGAAATACAGTGGAGTGATTCAGAGGGATTTTTTTTTTTTTTACTTGGCAGTATTTACAAGTATTCAAGTTGAGAGCTTTGTGTACTTTGTAGATTTTTTTTTTTTAAATCCAAGTGTTGAGTTGCATCAAGGTTTTCTTCAACATCAGACATTTACTTATTTGTGCAGTGATCTTATTGTCACACGTTACTTCCTTTCAGTTTCTAGCAGCTCTCACCTGCACATGACCATCTCCAAGTGCAACTGGTTAAGGAAGCAGTTAGTGCCACATACATACCTGCCTATTTGAAGCAAGGTTTTACTAATGCAAGAGTTTCTATTGTGTTTTATCGTTATTGTGCCACAGCAGCAATGGTTCACCAGCATTTCTCTTCTCTTTTTCAGCTTTTCTTATTGCTCTTCCTCGGTGAGAATGGCAAGGATTCGGATTCCTAGCACAGTCGTTATACTTTTTGTTACAGTTCAGACTGGATTCTTACTCTTCATGTATGCCCGGTACAGCAGCTTCATGCCTCAGGCTGAGGAGAAACCGTCCCAAGTCCACATCCTCATTCTCTCCTCCTGGCGGTCGGGATCTTCCTTTGTCGGGCAGCTCTTCAGCCAGCACCCCAGTGTCTTCTACCTGATGGAGCCTGCGTGGCACGTGTGGGTTACAATGTCTCAGAACAGTGCCAAAGTCTTACACATGGCAGTGCGGGACTTAGTCCGGTCGGTCTTCCTGTGTGACATGTCTGTGTTTGATGCTTACATGCCTTGGAAAAGAAACTTATCCGATCTTTTCCAGTGGGCAACGAGTCGGGCTCTGTGCTCAGCTCCTGCTTGTGACTCTTTTCAACGCACTGACATCACCAGTGAAATGGCCTGCAAGACTCTTTGTGGGCGGTATCCGTTCAGCAAGGTGGAGGAAGCCTGTAAAACTTACAGCCACGTTGTCATCAAGGAAGTTCGATTCTTTGACTTGAAGGTCCTCTACCCTCTTCTCACTGACCCATCCCTGAATCTCAAAATTATTCACCTGGTCCGTGACCCCAGGGCAGTCGTTAAGTCACGGGAACAATCGGTGAAAGCATTAGCCCGTGACAATGGAATTGTCTTGAGTACCAATGGCACTAAAGTGGAAGACAGCAAATACAAAGTCATGCAAGAGGTTTGTAGAAGTCACGTTCAGATTTATGAAACGGCTACTCTAAAACCACCTAATTTCCTTAAAAATCGCTATTTAATGATCCGTTTTGAAGATCTGGTGAGAGATCCATTATCAGAAATCTCAGAAATGTACAAATTTGCTGATCTTAATTTGACTCCTAGGCTCAAAAGCTGGATCTATAATATCACACATGGACAGGGACCGGGAAAAAAAAAAGAAGCCTTCAAAATCACGTCTCGAGATGCAGTTAGTGTTTCACAGGCCTGGAGAAACGTTCTTCCCTTTCAGAAAGTTAAGAAAGTACAGGAAGTTTGCAAAGGTGCTATAAACATGCTTGGCTATCAACTGGTGGATTCCGAAAAAGAACAAAGAGATCTGACATTGGATTTAGTGTTGCCAAGACGACAAAATCAATTCAGTTGGTTATCATTTAATCCAAAGCACTGAAACATTATTTTTGAGAAACTGGGGGGGGGGGGGTTGGGAGGGGCAAGGTAGATGTTTGAGTGTTTCTCTACTGCTCAGCATATAGTGATTGGAAAATCCTTGACTGATGACTTTAAGTATCTTTCTGTCTACTATTTTTCCATTAATGGAAGGAGTTTTTTTTTCCTGAGGTTCTTACACCTCTAAAACAAAAAAAGGCAAGATAATTGTCAGGTTGTAAATATACAACTGAGCTGTGCTGCTCACAGCATTGTTTTAAAGTACTATAATTTAAGTACTTTCTGTTACAAGAGGAATTCTCAAAGATGTCTTTATTGATAGTAGTTCACTTCTGTTTTCATGTTTTATATATTTAAGAATCACAGTTCTTTATTTGTATAAATGGAATGAAGTAGATACTAAATTCCTTCATTTGACTTTTTTCTTTCCTTTAAAGCTGTTGTGCAGTTGTGTATTTTTTTTTAGACTTCTCTAGATGTTTTAAATTTTAACACAAACGTTTTCCCAAAGCTGGAGCAAGTTCTGTTGTAAAAGGCTTAAATAGGAACTTAATTTATTGATTTCATACTGGTTCCCTTGGAGTGGCAACGTTTACAATCAGATACTCGAATGTGATGTTGGTATGGAGTGCAAAAAGCAAAAAATACGTGAAGAATCTTTGAGTAGAATCACAGGTGGGTAATGGTGTCCCTGTGGCATTCTGTGACACAGAGCAGGTGCACACTCGCTCCTGCAGCGCAGTTACCCTCTGTCTTCAGGACCACACGTTGTCAGTGAAGATCAGGGAGCTGGCTGGGAACTGGGCAGAGGGGCGGCAGCTGGCAGGGAAAACAGAACAGCTCGGAGGGCGGCAGCTCACAGGGAGATCAGGCCGGCCCTGGAGCCCGGGGGGCAGTGGGCGGAGAGCCAGAGGCGGAGCGGGGCGGGGAACGGGCAGGGGATGCCTTTCCCGGTGGATCGCTCTGTCCCTTTACCCCTTCGCGTGTGGCCCGTGAGGGTGAGGAGGGGCGGGTCCTTCTGGGTGCAGCTCTCGGCGGTCACCCGGGTGCCCCCTCCGCCGGGAGCGGCCAGAGGGGGGCGGTCCCAGGGCATCTCTCGAGGAACGATGGTGAGAGCATCTCGTAGGGGCTGGCGGAGCACCTGGATGTACCTGGAGATGGAGCTTTGCTCAAGCAAGGTGCCGAGGGACGAGCCCCATGCCCAGGGGCAGTGCAGGGGTGGGGAGCAGCACCTGAGCAGGTGGGGCAGTGTGGGGGCACAGGGAATCACATGGAATCTCACAGAATATGCTGGGTCGGAAGGGACCCACAAGGATCATCGAGTCCTACCACTAGCCCTGCACAGGACCATCTGCAAGAGTCACATCATACACCTGAGACTACCATCTAAAGCTTCTTGAACTCATTCAGGCTTGGGAAGATGCAGCTCGAGGAAGAGCTTGGAGGTTTTGTTTATTGGTGTGAATGTACAGTGCAGGGAGTGACATGGGATATAAGCACCGAAGGTGCTCAGGCAGGTGAGCCAGCACTCAGGGGAGGGAGTCGCTTTCCTGAGGACCTAAAGTTCCAGTTGCCGCCAGTTGCAAGAAGCTTCCATTTTGGGGCTGGGCTCCAAAAGGAGAGACCCTGAATCTGCTGCTTCTGATAAATCTGTAAGTATGGGAGGCTGTAGGGAGCTCACTGCTGTGACCAGCAATTCTTTCTCATTTAGCAGCTGTATTGCCTAGTTGTACCTGGCAAATGCCACTAGAGTTTCTACTCTGCAGATACTGTTACAGCTACTGGGTACAGTGAAGAGTCTGGCACACTTAATTACCTTAGTTCAGGTAGGTCAACAGTGACATTTCAGAGCACGTGTTACAGTAATTGGCATATTTCTTAATTTTTGTGATTGCAGTGCCTATTTGCACCAGCATATTTTGAGATTAGGTGCTGTGAAGCTTCTTAAAATAAACAAGACCTAAACATTGGTTACCTTAGCAGTATTTCAGCCTTGGACTGTTCCGAACAACACAACCTAATACAGAATGCATTTTATCTTCACCTTCTTTGTATCAGTTTTGTCTTTTAATGTAGAACATTAAAAATACATTTATCAAAACTGAGAAGTTCCTCAATTAATCCCTTTCCTGTCGTAGTTTGGCACAATAAATCCACACAGTGCATTTGGCATGTAAGAGTTACTGGGAATACATTTGAATTTTGGCTCAATCTTTCTTTGTAGTGATTCTCAAATTCAGGAATGTGGTGTGAATTCTGAGAATGCTAAGTCTTGTCCACTTGTGTGCTCCCTTCTGCTTAAGGGTAAGATCCCACAGCCCTGTGCTGGAGTAAAATGGAAGAAATTCATCCTTACATAATACTTCAGAAATTAGTTTTGTTTTCAGTAGATCACGTATTTCCAGTAATTTGTGTTAGCTCAGTAGACTCTGAGCAAGTAGACATGAAACAGTTAAAATATTCAAATAAGATGATAATTCTGAACACACCCTGTTAGTTTCAGTGGATAAGTTGAAGTTCTGTAACTGGAGTCTAAATGTTTTTTTTTCTTGAATTGATATGTACCAAGAGCAACTGTACCTCTAAATTCCTGTAAAACTAAAATCACTGTATACTGATCTGCTATATTGTTTTCTGCCTCCTCTTGTCCCTCCCTGTCTCCAGTATTGTGTATCAATCCCTTCTCCTGGCCCCTGAGCTCATCAGCCTCTGCACAGCACTCCATAAACACACAGTCTGAGGTGAGTGGACCTGCAGCTGCATGGAAGTGACTGTGTTGGTAGTCTGACAGCTCACTGCTGTTGTCTTCTTGGCTGAGAAGGAGAGATTGGCTTTCTTGGGAAAAATCAAAGGTCAAAACCTCATCCCTCTGTGTAGCTTTAAGTGCAGTGCTGTGTTCTAGCAAAACCTCGATTTCAGGAAATTTGTTGATCCAACACAAAAGTGGCTTCACTAAATATGGTCATTTGAAGTGTTGCACCCACATCTGTACCAACCTATATAAATAATGCATAATGTTTAATTTTATTTAATATAAATGTCTTGATCTCTGGATATTAAATAGAATAACCTCACTTCCAGTGAAGGTTAATTTGGTAAAACCCTACACTTGGTATCAAGTCTTGCTACTCCTAGGCCATGTATGAAGGCTCAGCTATGTCCTCAGCTTCTGTTGTGTCCAAACACTCTGGGATTCTATTGACATCACTTTGCATATGGCATAACTGGCGTATCTTTCCAGGCATTTGAGAAATTTACCACTCTCCTATATACAAAAATACCTAATATATGCATATGCAGCCTTTTGGGTTGGGTTTATTTTATTCACATCCCACAGTGCAAAACACACAAGTTCTAGTCAAAACTATCAATTGAGTACAATTAAGTGTAGAAGTCTAGGACAATCAAGTGTTCTTTTTATCCTCAGTCACAGGACTAGGCACTCCATGAGCACAAGGCAGAATGACAGCTTAGCTTTGCTCTCCTACTTTACCAGCAGCTTCCCAGCTGTGGCCAAAGACCCATGTACAGACCCAATAGAACTTTTAGTCCTCTAAAAGTAAATGTTTAGGACACCAGGGAACTTTGTGCCCTGAATTACTGTTTTGCCCAATACACTTGTGCAGTACTTGCAAAGCTTCTCTGTCTTTATAAATCATGTTTTTGTAGAAATATTACCAGGAAGAGTACTAGCATATAACTGAGTGAGGAAACTTAAGTCAGGCACAATTATTTCACACCACCCAGCAAGCAAAGAAGATTCTGTGGCTTTATGACAGTGCTCAAAAATAGATGTGCACTTGTCACTTCCTTGTCCATCAGTTTTAGCCTTCATAGTTTGAATCCACTCCTTAGCCTGGCCTGGGCTTATTTTTACTCTTTATTTCTTGCTCATAGTCAGCAATGATGCACATGGGTATTTAACATCTCATTTTATTTAAAGTTATTAGTTGTGCTCTGTAAACTGCACATGAACTTGGGGTGATCCTAGACATTTCTGCTACAAGTGACTGAAAAGTGGTTGTGGCAGATGCTGTGGGGGAAGGAGAGAAGCAGTGTAGGATTTTTTGGGTTCCAGAGTGTGGGTTTCAGAGTGTGGGTTTCAGACTGCTTTTATTAAGGCAGCCTTTCATAACCTGTTGGTAAAAGTGTTTTTTTTAATGACATCTAGTGGCAGAGCTCAGAATCACAATGTTCTGATGGGAGCAGCACTCCAGATGTTGGTAGTGACTTGGCTTTCCAGAGTTTGTGATGCTGGCAGCTTGTCAGGAATGGCAGCATAGCACATCGGATCTGTACCATGCTGATTTGATTTCACCAGTGATGAAAAACCAGCAGTCCTACGAGTCTCATTATTTGGCCCTTCCAAAGATAAAGCAGCTTCATAACTCTGGGGACAGAGGGTGTTAAGGAGTTTTAAAATATGGTCCTGATTATATTTTTTGAATGCTTGGTATTTTTAAACTCATAGTGGGTACAAAATTATGTTGATTATAAATCATTAACTTAGCAGCTGAGTCAATATGTGATGAGAAGCACAGAACAGCAGATTTTGTACTAGAACCACTGAGAAACTAAAGGATATGCTGCTGTATTTGAAGAGATGTTTTTAGGTTTGCACTGTCAATTAAATGCTGATAAGGATGTTTGCTTCGGTTGCACCTGCACATCAGAGTTCTCCCTTGGTTATAAAAGCAAGAAATCTCTCTACTACCTGTACCAAATACACTCATTTATTTCACATGTAAAAAACCTATACATAGACTCACACAGGTAAATCCTCTGGACTAACCTTAGCACAAACATTGCATTTCTGCCTGTATCTTCTGCACATAAACTACGTGATACCATTATGTTTCCATCCCAAGATTTTAGTCTCTTCTGTTACTGAGGTGGAAACATAATGCGACTGCAGTTTTGTTCCCAGCTGGCCACAATTGATCCTAATCTAAAACAGGTCTCTGTTCCAAAGAAGAATCTGCACAGGCCCCAGTTTTAATTTCTGGTTTTATTCATTGGTCTCTTGTGGTTAGTGAGATAAAGTGAATGGAAGGCAACAAGCAAGAACTAGCTGGGACTTCTTCGCTTATAACTGGGCACAGCAGAAAAATCATGATCTTGATATTCCCGTTTCCAACTTTTCCTGTAGTGTTGTGCTCAGAATGTTTTTCCTGAATTTTGCAGTTGATCAGGCATAATCATTGGAAGCCATGACATGCTAACTTTCTTCTTGCTTTAAAAATAAACCATAGGACAGGTGCAAAATAGAAAGTGCTTTGAAGATGTGATACACTTTGCCCGTGAAGAGAAACTTTTTCTTCTGGCTGATGAGGTAATGGAATATTGTGTTCTCTCAAAAGCACAGCTGAGAGTACTCATATGAAGTATAATTTTGTTCCGTGTGTGGTATTGGTATTTTTTAAGTACAGGGAACAGATTCTCTGTTATCATATTAAGACATGAGCAAACATTCAGGATCCTTAGTGCCAAAGGATCAGTATAACAGGTGGCTTGATCTGGATTTGAACTAGAGAGAAAGCGTAGGGAGCACAAGGAGGAACTTTGTTGGAACTGACCTAAAAACCTGTGTGAAGCTGAGACCACTTCAAATGAAAGAAACAGAAGGAAAATCAATTTAAACATGCAAGTAAAGGTTAAATTGTATACAAAGAAGCTCAGTGTTCTTCCAAAGGCTGAACCTTTAACTATGGTCACATGATATAAAGTATATCATGACAGTAACTATTACTTAACAAAGAACCTTGTATCTTCTAACAGCCCTTAAGTTTTGAGTGTTACCACTGTTTCTTCAGATCTGTCTCTCTAAAAGGCCATGTTTTGTCCTTAGTTGGGAGAACAGAGCACATTAATGTCTTCTGACTGTTCAGGTTTACCAGGACAGT